CTCTGTTGAAATGAGCTTTGTTTTCTAGACTTTTGGCAGTGTATCACGACACAGTTTTGGAGAATAAAATTTCATTGAATCGATTGGTCAGTTCAATTTGATTGATGATTTGCCGTAGCGCTAAACAGGCTTCCCAGATAAAAATAGACTGCGCGCGTGATTTTCCTTCGTATAAATTTTGCCCTTTATTGATAAACAAGTAATCCCATGAGACCTCGTACTATTAAGGATTAATTGCACTTGAGTTTTCAAAATTTTCCAAATTGCCCTCGTCGCTTCGCGACTCGGGCAATTTTGGAAAATTTTGAAAACTCTCGTGCAATTAATCCTTAATAGTACTTGGCCTCATGTGATTACCTATACTAACATGTAAACGTGATCACATTAAAATGAGAGATTATATGGACAGGCGGGTTACCCCACCTAAGCGGGTTACTTCACCTACCTGGGGTCCCCCACCTCCATGTAAACAGGCACTAATTAATTAATTAACGGTAATTAATTTATTTTATTTATGAACTTTAATAAAAGTCCATATCTTTGTAACTCTTCGTATAACCCGAAAACTTTGCTCCTTTGGCCACTACACACTTTTCCAATGTAATGTTTATTGTAACATGTACACTAGCTCTGATTTCCTTCTCTTTTTAAGTTCCTCTTATTATTGTATTTATGTACTTTTTTTGGAATAAGTGTCAATAAACTGAACTTGAACTTGAACTTGATGTTAAAATATTGTCATACCTGTCATAACAGAATATTAACGCTGAACTTTCTTGACTAATGTTCGTTATATTCTTGCACGTTCCTCGCTCGCAGACGAAGGATATCGCCAAGTACACACAAATTCTTGCTCCACGACCTCCAGAAAAACAAGGAGAAGAACAAAAGTTTGAAGAAACTTCTTGCAGATTCAGCATTCTTATAATTCTTTGGATTGTACATTTGTAGCATATCCCATGAACCTCTGCGCTCTTTGTTTTCCGAGTGGCGCCTGGACCCCAGGGGAGTGAGGCAAGTCACCATTGCCCTTGCTTATTTTTCTATCACAAAATCCCACCGGCCACGCAGGCTAAGTTGCTTAATTCCCATGTTTAATTTTTCTTGAACGTGAAAGCAGTCATTTTCACGTGGTAATAGCCAGCGAAAAGAAACGAGCGTAATGGCATGAAAAATATAATGGTCACGCAATCATCAGCTTGCGTGATGCTTAAAATCCTCAATTTCGGAAATTTCACCTGAAATGGGTTCTGCTTTTCGCGAAAGTTCTTCTATTCAGATAAGTGGGGGCCCACACAATCTGTTTTTGTTACGGTCTGTAATTTTATAACAAATGTGCTGAATTTAATCAGGGGCCTGCAAAGAGTTTTCTAGTGTTGTGACAATTTTCCAAAACCACGCAGACCCCTATAAAGTTCTTCCAGATCCATCTTCCCCCATTTGGTGCTTGGTCACAAATACGGAATACAAGTTACACATGCGAGGGGGGAGGCAGGAGGACCAAAACTCCCGCCTCCCGTGAAGGACTGCCACCTGCCACCTTCCGCTCCTTCCCTCTGCCGATTATACAGTACCCCGGCCTTCCGCCCTCTATTCCCCCTCCCAAACCTAGTGCTTTCCACAAGTTGCTCGGCAAGCAACTTCTCGTATTTCGAGCAACTTTTTTCGTTTCGAGCAACGCTTTGCCGAGTGCTGAACAATTTCTCAAGTTATGTTCTAATTCTGAGATATCGGAGCAGCTTTTGGGGCTTAAATTGACCTTTCTTCCATATTTCACAATGTTTTAGTAGACAATTCAGTGACAATTTATGAATTTCCTGTAAAAAAAGGAGCCAAATCTTTCTCCCCTGTTGGGAAGGATTTGGCTTCGCCTTCGCATTTCCGCCGCACTCAATCCCCGCACGCAAAAAAACTCTCTATTATACCCAGGGTATACTTTCACAGTCTCGCTTGCTGCAATCTACTCGCTGCTGCGGATAGAGCTTTCTCTCCTCTCTGCTCGTACCGTCGCTGGGAACGAGAAACGGCTACTAGCGGCTACTAGGCTAGGGTAGAGTAATCCACGAACAAAAGCTTGTTGAACAGCCCCCCCCCCCCCCCCCCCCTTCTCTTTCTCTCCGCCTAGGATATCAAATGTCAAATGTAACTAAACTGGAGCTGGTACGTACATTGCGGCTTGTTACAGTACAGTATTGGTATTGGTGAAAGCTACAGACCTGATTGTCTGGTCGAGGTCGGGCACTTCCGTTAGAGTGTATCATTACAAACAGAAGATTTTTTTTCTGCGCATTTCCTGTATTGCCTGTAGCGCCTCCCTGTGGTAAAATATTTAAAGATTAAAAACTGAAGATGTCCGACGCAGGATTTACCTCACTAGTGATTATTTTATGTTTGTTTGATGTTTTTCCAGTCTCAGATCAAACCTCTCCTGGATATGGTATGTATTGGTTCATTTCGATTTTTCTGTTTTGTGATTTCGTTCTCCTCAGAGAGTATAGTTATTATATATATGTTTTGTATACAATCTCCTTTGTTAGCCTCTGTTACGTCAGGGTTCTTCTAGAAACTTGAATAGAATAACATGCCTCGCTGTCGGGTCTGTCGTATCACTAGGAATTCCTCTCCAATCAGAAGAAGTGAGTGGAACTCGCTTGACCAAAAGAGCAACAGCTTAACGCGTGCTGATGCGGTCAAAAATCGCTTTTTAAATACTCTAGCTGCTATTCATCGCCTGTATCTAACACGCTGTATGATTTACGATTCCAAAACATTTTAATTGACGACTAGAATGCTGATTACTGACCCCCTTTTTGAGAGGAAAATTCAGAATGTGGCTGCAACCAACAAAGCCACTTGGCAATTTCTTTTTTTTTTTGAGCGATTATGAACCATTATCCTCGTTGATTTCCCTGCTTACTTCTTGCCATTTTTGAGCAATTTTCTGTTTATCAGCGCTTGAATCAAGTTCTTAACCCCTGTTGTCCACAAAGGTCAGCTTTGTCAACCCGTTTTTCTGTGATCTTGTCTCTGGCACGTAGACTATTACTCCCGGGTATGGGAGAGGTACCGATGAAAATGGGATGGTTTTCAGGGTCTTGAATCTTTTAACAGGGTCAAGGCTTGAAGGCCTTAGCTGCACACCTCTATCCAAATTTTCTGAGTGTCCCCCCTGTTCCCAGAGTCTCAGACAGTGGGAACAAACAAACAGAGTGGAATTTCAATTTGTTTGATAGCAGCTGGCACGCAACTAAAGAGGTGAATTGTAAACTGACCCATTTACAAATAAAAACAAAGGCTATTTAATAGGCGAACATACGGAGCCGGTCGTTCTTTCATGCCGAAATGATCTCATTAGGCAGGTATTCCTTTGCTCGTCACACATTCCTCATGTCCTTCCACCACCCCCACACCCCGGGGGCATGGAACTGTGGTGAGATGTGTGATGGAAGGTTACCGCCGAAACCGCAGCCGCACGAACCAACGGACACTGAGGGATGAGGGGGGCCATAGTAAGTGTCCGTTTTAACGAGGTGTCCGTATTAAGCGAGTTGAATTTAGAGTAAATGTAAGGGCTTGGACAAGGCAAACTGTCCGTAATAAAGGTGGTTGTCCGTAAAGCGGGGCTTAGACGTCGATCAAGAACCGGCAAGACAAGACAATAAAATTAAATGGAGAAGTTTACCCTCTGCATGCCCCTATCGCAGGAGTAGGCTGATAAATTTCAAGGTTTATCGTCGTTTTTCTCGCCTTCCTCTAACTTTTTTCAAAGTTATGTATCATTAATTATATTTTCACAACCCAATTCGAATAGCCTTTGCCACTTGAGGGTTTTTTACGTATTTATTTTGCAATAAAGAACTGGAAATTAATTAAGTTGTTTTTAGTGGTGGTGTTGGTATAGTAGCCTGAGTATCAGGCCTTCGTAAGGGGCTAGGGGAGAGGAGCTCTCCCTTTTTCGCTTCCATCTTTCCCCTTTTCCCCAGAAACGCCTGATACTCAGGCTATTGGTATAGCGACTCTTATTACGCCCGACTACTCTAATGTCCAAACGTGACAGTTGAGTTGGCAGAAGAACATTAATCTATCAGTCTATGCTGCCTTGGTGTGACATGAAGCACCTTTTCAAAACTTAAATGATAGAGTTCCCTACCCTTTCATATTCTTTAACTCGTGAATTCCCTACCCTTGAAATATGCCTCAGCCTGAGAAAGGTACCTTATTACATGAAATTTGTGCGACATATGTAAAAATTTAAATTTCGCGATTTGCAAACATTTTATATTTTGAATCACTTTAATTTCGCGTTTTTGATGAGTACCACGATTTACATTTCATTGGCAATGTTATTTAACATGTCCTTGAATTAAATAAAACGACCTTATCAAAGAAACAATAACGTCAAACTAAGAAAAACGCAACAGCGGGACTAAATGCGGTCAACAGTAACAACAAAGCAGTTCTCACAATGTCCACAAGCAGTTCATGCTTGTACATGAATTATTGTTCTTGAGTAAATTGACCTCAACATTCGGTCAACATCCATGCGAGTCACTTAATTTTCGCGTCATGTTATTTTCGCGACACTTATTGTTCGCGTCACTTTAATTTCGCGATTTATTCCCCCTGCAGGGATTTCGCCCAGAACGCTACTATCCTGAAAAAAATGAGGGTCAATTTAAGAACTACCCGTAGTCTATGGTTGCCATGGACAACATGAAATTCACCTCTCATCGCCACCCCGCGATGAGAGAAACGTGCGCTAGGAACGCTTTAATCTCTTCCTTATAGCCTGTTCGGCAGGCGTTGAGACAGTGGGGACAGCGCCGGCAAAGACGTGAGCTTCGCAGGCTTATACCAGGAGATAATGTTTTGTTTAGGCATTGAGCAACCATCACCTTTTAGAATTCTTAAACTGAAACATGATTAGAGAAGGAAATCCAGAAAATATACAACTTGTTGCTAAAGGCAATTAAAAATAAAAAGTTGCTTTTTTCTCAACAGTTTTCGAGCGTAATAATTACATCTACAAGTTCGTTTTTCCTGAGGACGATAAACGCACTTGGTATGAAGCAGAGACGCTTTGCCAAACAGCAGAAAACGGTCATTTGACAAGCCTCGTTTCACCCAGTGAAATCACATGGGTAGATAGCGTCATCAAAAACGTGGTGCCAAGTCAAGGTACAAAGGTCAAATTGTGGATCGGAGGAAGCGACCGGAACGTTAACGATGTATGGGATTTCGTCGATGGCCAACCCCTCCGGTATAACGTTGTTCCCTGGGCCCCGGGTCAACCCAGGAGACCCCAACAACACGTGAACTATGAATTCTGTGTAAGCTTGGAATTTCAGGGAGAACGTTCTGTATGGTTTGTGGATNAGCGTCATCAAAAACGTGGTGCCAAGTCAAGGTACAAAGGTCAAATTGTGGATCGGAGGAAGCGACCGGAACGTTAACGATGTATGGGATTTCGTCGATGGCCAACCCCTCCGGTATAACGTTGTTCCCTGGGCCCCGGGTCAACCCAGGAGACCCCAACAACACGTGAACTATGAATTCTGTGTAAGCTTGGAATTTCAGGGAGAACGTTCTGTATGGTTTGTGGATGACTGCTTTGAAGCAAATGGATACATTTGTAAGTCTGATGGTAAGTACAGTGTAAGTGGTGCTCAGTTTTCACAGTCTATTATTTGATCAAACTCATGTTTGATCGTCTCACCGGATACAATCCGGAAAGCTTTTCGTGAGAACGTGAAAATCTACCTGGTTGAATGTTAACAGCACAGAACTGGAACAATTCTTTCCACACATCTCGTCGAACACCGCGCAGGAGCGATAACGACCCACTTTCAAGATAATCAAGATAGGCTGGTATGGTTTTCGAGTCGGCGCGAACAAGAGCTATCCTGTAAAGTGTGAACCTGACTCAATGTGGTGTGTAGTATGAACATAGCCTTACGGTACAATTAAGCGATAAAAAGTCCTCGAAGGCTTTCCCTACTAGGCGCCAATGTATGTAGTATACCATTGTTAAGTGTTGCCCCATGTAAAGGAATCCATACAGTCTTGGATTCAGGATTCCACGCTATAAATTCCGGATCCCAGGTACTGAATTCCATATTCTCTTTGTCAGTGTGGAACTTGAATTCAGGATTCCGATCGTCAGTGGGTTCCGGATTCCTTGAGCTGTATTCCAGATTCCAAAGCTCAGGATTTCGGGTTCCTCAGGAAAAGTTTCCGATAAATGATTTAGGTGATAACCATCAAGTTGTTTTTCCGCAGAACCAGCTGAAAGGTTAACAGAGAAAAGATTTGGATACAGTAAGTTTTATTACATTGGCTTGTTTTTCCCTTGGGTTTTACGAGATTCTTGCGATACGCGTATTTCTAGTAAATGGCCGACCAGCCTCACTGCCCTAAAGGGTACTCTGAAAATAAGACAAAGCACAATATTATTTACAGGTTGAATTACAAATTTCAACTTAAAAACTAAATGCAGCACCTTGTGGTATCAGTACTCATATGAGTTTGAGCGTAATAGCCAACATGAAATACAACATGCTTCGCGGACAATGACAAGTTTCTCTGGATTACTCGGCTTACACGCTGAAACATCTTATTCAGCCTTTCAACCAACACTTGCAGCGCAGTTTCTAAGTACTTATTTTTACGTCACGTGACCCAAATGGCAACGTCGTAAAAGGATAAGGCTGAAATGTGATTGGCTTAATATTGAAAGTTACGTCGCCCCATCACCCAGTGAAACAATCAGCCGGCAATGTTTTGCAGTAATGTATTGCAGGCCATGTGCAGCTGTATTGAAGTGGCATATCATTTCTTTAGTGGTGAAGCGATATTATCTTTAAAATTCCCTTCGAAAGAAACCAGCTGATGAGAGAATAAGTTTGTTATTCATTCTCACTGGCTTTCAATTGCACCTGTTATTTTAGGTTGGGAGTGGAAACAGCACATCTACAAGTTTATTCCCCTACCGTGGGCTGGCCTGAGTTGGACAGAGGCAGAGAAATACTGTGAACAAATAGAGGGCGGACACTTACTAAGCATTCGAACTCGAAAGGAAAGCCGATGGGTCACCGAAAGAATCCGTCAGATTCGTCAAATAATAGGATTCTCCAAGTTTTGGATTGGAGCTTCAGATTTTGGTCACGAGGGAACTTTTCAATGGAGTGATGACACCAATAATCGTCCTATAAACTTTACCAGGTATACGGGAGGGGAAGCAGTAGTATTACAGATTACATGCCTAGTCCATCGCACTGGTGCGGAAGGAAACGATAGAAAAGGGGCCACAACCTCCGGCCGGAGTTTCACCCGGCTTTTGTGGGGTGGGGTGATAGGGATATTAGGGTCAAAGGGGTCATAGACACCAAAGATGACATGAGATTGACCGTTATTTTCTGAGAGTATTGCCTACTTTTCTCTGACCGGGAAAGGTAAATAGAAAGTGGTTAATAAGGTTGAGGGTCAAAGGGGGGAAAGATAGCCGAAGGTTACTGAACCCGCGGGATGATATGGGAGCATATACTTCCTTTCCTCCAACTCCCAGCTTCCACTGGGATAGAATTTATAACGGCTGGGAAGAAGCGAAAAGGATTTAACCTGATTAACCGTTCTCAACCAAATGGGGTGAGAGTGTCTTACAGCTAGGAAGCGACTTTGAGCTTCATTCACCGGATATCTTATCGAACTCCATCACCCTTATCTTCCCTACAAGATGCTATAAAACTGGTATCGTAACCCTCCCCACCCCCCGAAACCTTATCGAGCCTCTTATTGGACTTGCTCTATAACTTCTATTTTGACACCATTTTAGTAGGCTCGATTACCAGCCTCTGTTCCGGAAAATGAGCCCGCATTCATCCCCCTGAAAGAGTTTCTTCGGGGAGGATCAAAGACTGGACCTGGACCGGACTCAGGAGACTGCGGAGATCGAGCCTACCATTTTTGACGCTTCACACATTTTTCAGGGGCGTTTTCTCGGTCTGGAACAGGTATCTATTTCGAGCCTTGCTTTAAAGTTGTAGCCTTATTTAAACATTCCGTAATTACTCGATTAAACGCCGCCCTCAAAGGAATACCACAGATGGAAGCAAAAATTAGCAATAAACGCCTCATCGGAAACGCTAAAAATTTAGTAAACATCGCGGAATTTAATCGAATAAAGCCGGTTCGTGGAGTGAAATCGCTACCTGTTGGCGGACGCCTCATCTAATATTTAATCGCCTTTAGTAATTGTCAGCTATCATTTCTGTTCATCTCACAGCTGGGCAAAAGGTGAGCCCTCGGTGCACAATACAAATAACCTCAGGGAGGATTGTGTGGCAATACAAGCTGATCCTGAATGGGGGAAATGGAGCGACGAAAGATGCGTCATTGCGACTCCTTTTATATGTAAAACAAGAGGTGAGTCATTCAGTGCCGTTCTTAGGCACCGTCCAAGCGAATTCGTTTTTGCTGTTATCAGAAACGCATCGATTGATTCGCGTTCACAGTGCCGTCTTGATGCGTTTTCGACTGTCCACGCTAAAACTTGCGAAAACAGTAGAATTGCACGTTGTGACGCACGTTGAGCTTTATGCGCATGCTACAATCACACGCGCCTGCGATATTTTCAGTCACGGTTTTCATTTTGATGCGTTTTCGACCGATAATACGATATGTATGCATTTTAGTTTTGATCATTTACTTTCAAGAGCGTTTTCAAACCGATGCGTTTTCGATGAAAACGCTCAGAGTATTAGGGCGAACGGAAGGCCTAAATGCATCAAAATGTACGCGATTTTAAAGAGAAACGTATTTGTGTGGAGGAGGTCTTCGACTACACCAGGGATCTTCGTTACAAAAACTAAGAAAGCAACGCTGACTTAACACTACTTAAAAATTTAGCTGCCCCAAACTATAGAGGCATTGAAGAGCTGGCCGGGACTAGGTGTTCCGCTCAGTTAAAAGCTTGTAAACGCAATCCAAGTTTTTTGACCTCTGTACACTGAATAAATTCTCTTATTTTAGTTAACTTAACTAGAAATAGTAGAGAAAAAAATCTAAGTGACGGAGCAACTAACGGACACAAATTTACTCCCGAGTAAACAGCGAAAGAAACTACGTACTGAGAAAAACAAAAACAACATAAAACTTATTTAAAACAAGTAGAATTTTTGAAAAAAATCCATTTTCTCCAGTTCCTTTGCCCTGTAAAAAAAAAAACACCCACGAGAATTTTTCAAATAAAAAAGATTCCTTGTCACATAAAGACAAATCAAACGAGACCCTTTCGTCTGGACCGGAAGTATGACCTAAGAAGCAGTCAGTCGCTCTCACTTAAAGAAGAAGCTAAACGTTTTGTGTGGTCCGTGATCGAAAACTTCCACATCTCGGCAAATGGCACTCGGGTAGGATTTATACGGTCTTCTGCAATAGCCAGTGTCATATTTGACTTTCAGTTCAGCGCGGATAACAATATTTTACGCTTAAAAGAGATGGTCGACAACATCGTTTTTGCTGAAGGAGGCAGCACAAAACACGAACTCGCGTTGCAGTTGGCTCGTGTGAACCTCTTCTCGGCAAATGGCGGCTCACGACCCGGTGTGCCGAAGGTCCTCATCGTGTTAACCAAGGGAAAATCGGAGAACATTCTTGCTGTTGCGCGCTCATCCATGGCATTGAAGAGAAACAACGTGACTATTGTGGTTGTAGGAATCGGCGAGGAGGTTAACATAGAGGAGTTGCTAACAATGGCGTCAACCGCTGGCGATATGACTAGGCTGAATACATTCAGAGAGCTCAAGACCCTAGTTAGTACAATGAAGAATAAAGTTTGTGACGGTGAGTAGTACTTGTAAAATAGCCTGTTTGGGCGGTCAAATTGCGGCGAGCACCCGAAAGTCAAAGAGAAAATTCAGCAAAACTGTGAAAAGTAGAAAGGAGAGAGGACTGTGGAGAGGGATTAATTTTTGCACCTCGATCCAGTCTCTTCACCCATAATCTCAACATTCGATCCGTTTTACAGAAATTGAAGTTCTCACAGCGCATACCCCTTTCCCAAAATTTTGTTTTTCAGGCGGCCTATATTTGAGGTCGCTATCATATTTAACAGGAAATTGGCGTGATTTATATACAATCATATGACATTCAATTGAAAGCAAGCAATCTTCAGAATGAAGGATATGGAGATAGAAACTCATGTAACTTAATGTAATATTTTTACTGCACATTCAGCGAAGAAATTTCATTACCCGGGGTCGAGTCTCGCTTACCGTAAATGATCGATTAAACGGCGCTTAAATGTGCGGTGCTCATTCGAGAGCGGCGCTTATTTCAACTACGGGTAAAACACTGAGGGGAATTATTATAGAGAGAATTAAGTGAGGTGCGTACTAGGTATGCACAATATAATATACAGTTATTTCGAATGAAATACAAGATGTATCGTGAAAGCAATTTTGAAGGTATTGCTCGGCAACATGAACCCGGTTTCAAGAGTTTCCCTACATCAAAACTTTAGAACTCACCAGCTGGTCGTGGTCCTATTTCTCAAGCGAGATGGTTTTGATATCTCTTTGTATCAAGCGTCGTAACAAAGGTGTGGCGTTTATTTGTAAATACCCAAATTAGCGCCGCGGCGCTTTTTAAATTCTCTCCGGTAAAGGTGCGGCGCTTAATCGATCATTTACAGTAGGCTATGTTAACACAATACAGGATAGCTTTTGGCACTGACACGGAAAGTTATCTGGTATAGCATGAACACCTTTCCGATATGTGACTCACCAGTTTAGAGATCGGCGCGGCGCAGCTTCGCACCGTCACAGAAATCGCGCCGCCACAACAGTTTTTATGTGTGAACAGAAGCTCAATTCGATATGATTTTCGTGGCGGCACGAAAAGCCGTCCGGTATAGCATGAACACCTATTCAATATGTGACTCACCACTTAAGAGATGGGCGCGGCGTAGCTTCACTTCGTTCACAGAAATCGTGCCGAAATCACCGTTCTTATAATTATGTAAACAGAAGCCCTATTCGGTAAGGTTTTCGTGCCGGCGCAAAAGCTATCCGGTAAAGTGTAAACATAGCCTTGGTCTCTGATTGCTGAAGTGTGATCTAATCTCCCTTTTCTAGCCTGCGAACGCAAATTTTTTCCAGTCGTCGCTTCTCTGATCTCCACCCGGGTGGAGAGAAGCGACGACCGGAACCGTCTACGGTCGCAGGCTACCATTCCTGGAGCTACAACCAGTTGCAACAATGTTGAGTCACTCCCACGAAAAAAACGACCTTCCTTGTTTCAAACCGCTGCCATCCCATTCAAAGTTGATAAGGGGTGGAGGCGGGATCACAAGCACAAGATCTTGTCAGGTCATTTATTCGAAACTACGGTACATTGTCTCAAGTACTTTTGCAACTGTTTGTAGATGAACATTGGCTTCAAAGCGCCGTAAAACTTGAATTCTATTCGATATGAATGTTTATTTTATTAACCACGGGATCTTTTCATTTTGTTCAGAGATGATTAAGAATATACAGAGCACGGCGCCACAAAACTGAAGAAAATCCGAAGTATTATATGACGGTAGATAACTGACACGGAGAAGAAGACGGCCGCATAACTGCTGACTGTGCAGCACAACAGAAAATTAGCAAACTTAACTTTGTTTATTTTCTAGATTAATATGAAATTTTTAAAGCTTAAACACAATACGCAAACAATCCGCTGGAAATTAAAATAAACCTCGATTTCCCGAGACATTGTCATCCATTCCAATTTTCCAGGTTTAGTCCTCTTTATTTTGGCATTGCGGTAATTGAGGGTCTGAATGGGGGTACCTCGATAACGCTGAACACTTCATTTTTTGGCTTTGTAGCATAAGACATTTAAGTTTTAGGCATTTTAACACTAACAGTAACAAATTCTTTGAAACAGTAAATGTTTTCCAGAAAGAAACAAAAACGGCTCCAAAAAGGCCACTACTATTTTGTTTGGTGTATATATCAAGCAGTTTTGGGCAATTTTAAGACAATTCCGAACTATTTCAGAAGATTTCCGAAGGCTTCCGAAGATTCCGGAAGACTATCGAAGATTTCCGAAGACTAACGAAGAGGTCCGACCATTGCCGAAGATGTCCGAAGAGCCCTCCAAACACTTAACAGTATTTTTTTCGGAAACAGTAAGCATTCAAAAACTGGCCAATTTAACAGCAAACACTAAAAATTCTGGGCAAATAACACCAAACATTAAACCCCATTCAGACCCTCATAATTGTATATTTAACAATTATTCCTCGAACCCAAATGGGCTCTGAGTCAAGAGTCATTGACTCAGAGGCCATGAGGGCGAGAGGAATAATTTTTTAGTAAAATCCAGCTAGTTGATAAAAAGTATCGAGACAAAACAACTTTAGCTAGCAAAACGCGATTCAGTCGCCATTGGCTTGTTTTTCAAAGCTCGCGCTTTCTGCTACTAGTGGGCTATAACATAGAACCTAGTAATAGCTCAACCAATCAGAACGCAGCATTGATAATAGACCACTAGTTGGATTTTACTAATAACAAATACCTTGCCTAGTCCTAGCCTGTCCGCACTCCACTTTCTAAAGTCCTAGAACAGACTAGCGTCGACCCTGCACGGCGTCTCCCCAGGCCGTCACCGTCAACGCATTGCCATCTGAGTGGTTGGCGCGTTCGACTCCAAACCCCGCGATCCTGAGTTCGTGTCCCGCTCTAGATGACCACTACTAGCTGGATTAGTTTAACAGTGGCCCGATTTCAATTCCTGGATCATTCTTAACTGTAAACAGCCAACTGGTTGCTGGCTAGTTTGGGTTTTAAACCCAATTTAGGTTATTTGCTTTTGCCGGATTTTTTGTTTTTGTTTTTGTTTTGTTTTTTTTTTTGCAGTGAGAGGACCTGTAAACTAGCTACGCGTTAGCGCGGCTGAGCGTATCTTTTTCTACAAACAAAGATTTCTTTTCACAAAACTAGAAAAATGTGCAGAGTTACGCTCAGCTGCCCTAGCGCGTAGCTAGTTTACCGGTAAACTTACTTGTTTATAGGCAAACTTACTTACTTTACAGGAAACTTGCTTGAAAAATGCAAAGTTTGGTTACTTTAAACGACTACAAAAATATATGTTTTGGTTTAATTTTATCCTGGGCTTAAATTTTATTTTCATTTGTTTTTGGTATGGTAATGTATGATAATGAGTTTAAAACAAAAGAGTAAAATTTAAACCAAGGATAAAATTGAACCACAACATATACCCCCAAGGTACTGGGCTGGTGACAAAGGGAGAGATCAATTCCATATGGATAAACGAAATCAACACTCGGGCAGAAATTGCACACCAAGGCGTCGCCATTGAGCAATACTTAAAATTTTCAGGTTGAAAATGCTCAGGAAACTAAATCTCTAAATTGTGCAGCCTATTACTTTTGAAAACCCAGAGCTTCCATGTGTTTGGTCAAACTTTACTGAATATTTATCTGTTAACCTTGAACACTCCACAATGGACTTAAAAGTTAGAGCAACCTTGTAGAGCATTATAAGAACAGTACCACAGGAGAGTACTCAAGACGCTCAGCAGCTTTCATTATTTCGAATGGTAAGACTATAGGATTTCATCCACAGAGTCAACAGACCGGAGCTACCATTGTACAGCACGAGCAGAGAAGTACAGCTCAGTAGCCTTTATTTGAATTGTCACACGACGGCATTTTATGCACAGACTAAAAAGTCAGCACCACTTTACTCAGTTTAATAACTGAACAACACTGTTAAGGAAAGTACTGCCCAGTAGCTTTCATCAAACACTAAAATTCTAGAACCACCTTGCATGTACAGAGTAATAAACAGTACCACAGGAAAGTACTGCTCAGTAGGCACTCGCATTTGAATGGTCACACTTAAGGATTTCTTCCACACCAAACTCAACTATCGGGAACTGCCATTTTAGCGCAACATCATACACGGAACTACATCAAGAAAATGAAACCTTTCGTTTGAATCAGTTACATAAGTAGAATTTCATCATCCGATTCAAAGGTAGCCGTTTAGTCTGCTCTATAAGCTCTTTTAGTTAAAAGATAAACCACGAAAATATAAAACTTAAGCAAATTATTTCGTTTGTCATTCCTTTGTGGTCCTCATAAAAAAACTAACGAAAATTATTTAGTTAAGTTCATACATGGAAACTTCAATAGCATTCGATTAAAATCGCCGATAACTATGCTTGTATGAGTGCTTTTATCTACTAATGCTTCAGCGAGAAAAATAGGCGTAACACCAGAATTTAAACAAGTCTTTCCTTCAAAAAAGCCCAAAGACAGCAATTTTTCATGATAGCACTTTTCTTTAGAAAACTGAGCCACATGCCAGTCAATAAATTGTATCCGAGTGTCTTCTTTCTAAAAAGCTTTTTCAATATTACGGATTATGAAAAAATACCTTCTAATTACACTCGGTAACGTGGTTTCAAAAGATACTCTTAAAAACAATAACACACCGGGCCATTAAATATTGTTAAAGCCCGCTTGTGCAATAAGAGATGTCTTACAGGAGCCAATTTTCGTATTTCACGTGCAAACCTGTCCCATTCCTGTCCGGCGGAGATTAAACCCCTTGTTCCGTGGATTAGTTGTTTAAAAATCGCTCTAAAAAGGAACAGTAAAATAGGTACAATAAAAGGGATTGTGAATGAGATCGTTTATTTTCACTCATTTAGCGAGGCAACCTGTTTTCATATTTGAGTGATGTTTTCCTTTTGTAAGTGCGGTTCCATTCTCACTCGAGCCTTTTCGGAAGTGATACTTGTCAAAAATGGTTTGGGTGATGAAAAACTTTCAGACCGAAGCTCATTTTGTTGCTCTATTTGTTCAATACTAGTGCATCGCTATAGGAAGAGTTTGTGCCTGAATGAAAAACTAAACAGAGGTTCAGAGATTTCTTTTCGTGAAAAACAGTGTTAAAATGTAGACAGGTTACATTTGGCAACCACCATCTCAGCATCCGTCAAGATAGCATTTACTTTCATTCCTATTCAAATATTGTCCAAGCTAATTTTCCTTGCAGCTTAATTAAAAGGAAATTAAACAATAGTACAATTATTTGTTTAAGTAGAGAAATGGATATTTCAAGGTTAACAACTTTTCGTAGCGCATAAAATTACGTCGCACAGTGCACCTGTGGTTGCACTGCTCAAATGCTGGGAAACGTCTGAATCGAATTTGATTAAAATCAGTTTTCAGTTTAGAAACTGCTTTAAAGCTTATTTTTTACTAGACACTCATCTATATTCAGATTCTTTGTTCTTTTATTTTCTATGAGAAAATATATTCGTTGGTAACTAGGGGCGTAAACGTCGAGCGAAAAGAACGACTCCATGCAGGCTCCTGAAGAAGCTTAGTTTTGAATCAGTTTCAAAACTTTCGCTACCTTGCTTTTCACTAAGTGTATTTCTTGTATCTAAGCGATTTATCTTCTTTGTTATGCATTTGTAGAAGCAAGCTGGCGTTTCGTGCAAGACGGACATTACTTACACTTCGTCCACAATGTATTTGGCTATAAATTCCACAGAGAAATGACAAATTCAATTCGGCCATTGTATCGGTAGACAATATGGAAACTGCGTATCCAGTTACTTAGCCTTTGTCCGCAGTTTTTGCATTATTCATTGTTTGGCAATTAGTGCCCGAGACAAAGGGCAAAGTATGTGGTATTATTACGCGTCTATTTGAGTTGGGCAATAACGTAAATGTAACACTGTAGCTATATGAATGGAAATTACTGAATAACTTAAAGTGGTCTGGCTTTCTGCGCTCGAAAGGCCACGGTAAAGTTGCTTAGAAACCTTAAAAGGGGGAGAATTTCACAAGGTGATTATTCACGGTCCTTTCGAGGTATTTACGTTAGCTTGGTCGATAAAGTGCATTGCTATTAATTCATAGTCAAATTCCTCTGAGAGTTCGAAAACTAATTTGGCTGTCTAGTTCACAGAAGAAGGACATTGTTGTTTACATGAACTGACAGTACACAGAAACTATTTGAATATCTAACCAATCAATGAGCTCGAACACAAAAGCTTTGAAAGTCTTGAATGGTAAAAAATCAAATTGAACAAAAGCGAGACGTCAGTCAACTCCTTGAGCGTCAAGTGAGACACTGCACTATTGCAGTCCAAGGACTGAGACGACAACAGCTTCTTGAATTCAAGGGTCTCTCAAGTGCGAAAATTTCAGTGACCTGGGCATGGCGGAAACTTCCTTCGTAATTCAGCAAACCTTCTCGGACCGGAAGCCTCCCCGCATGCCGAAATGCGCGCGGTGTCGCAACCACGGCAAGGTATCGTGGTTAAAGGGCCACAAGCGATACTGTCCGTGGAGGGATTGCAATTGCGCTCAGTGCACCCTGATTGCGGAAAGACAGCGCGTCATGGCAGCGCAAGTCGCGCTCCGTAGGCAACAGACTCAGGAGGAGAGCATGCGAGTCCAACTGACGAAGAAAACACCCGCATTCATAGCACCCCATGTTCCCCCTGTCCCGCAGTTAAACGGTGTTGCAATACACTGCGCAGAGGATAAGGCTCCTGCAGTACTGTACAGGGCAGTTACGCAAGGTAACTTCAATGTTAAGTTAACTAACTAAACATTTTAGGAATTCGTGATTTAGTTGCGATTTTCCGCTCATTTACACATATACATGACTGGCAGGTACAATTTTATAACATGTAGCAAATTGGTATATGTTTGCAGTTTCTTAACCTGTCAATTACACGCCTCCAAGGCAAACACAACAGCGTTTCATCTCAGTATGTTTCTTTCCGTAGTTTGCACAAGCGTTATCGTGGGATGACAGGGTGATATTTTGCGGAGAAACCGTCTGACGTTCTAAGTACCCTTTCAACGTCGGAAAAAATCAATTCTCTTTAATATTGATGAGTAGAATATTCACACAAGTTGAGCAGACCATTTAATTAGCCCTTGCTCTTTTTCTATTAGTCACAGGCATTTTATAAAAAAATATATCTTTTCAATGAATGAGCAAACCCAAGATATCTATATTAAACTTTGTTTGAATGATTTAAATAAAGGCCCAGCTGTGTTCTTTCCTTGAAACTTGAAAGTTCCAAAAAGAAAACTTCCGACAGAAGGCCTTCGCATCAAAGTCATCCATTGTCCCAAAGAGGAACGAAAAGTTTTGTTTTACTGATAAAAGCTCGACAAAAGGTTCAGGTTGAGCGCTTTTAAAAACATGAAGTATTATTATGCATATTAAGGACAGTCGGCACTTAAATTTGATAATTTAATTCGTTTTGCCATGCCTTTTTATGAATTCTTTCTTTTTTTCCTTTTACCAGTTACCTGCCTGAAAAGTCTAAGTTTGCTTCGACAATTTTTCACGTGCATTAACTAAATATTCTTGTAGGTGCAAACGATAGAAATAGTGCATTAAGAGCTTTTCTTGAGATAATTTGTTTCAGATTCGATTTTTTATTTCAGAGGCCAATTTTGTCCGGAACTTCAGTTCTCAAATAAATGAGCTATTATGGATAATCTCGTAAAAGCTTTTCCATCGTACTTAAAATAGATATGTCATAGTGTTTACTTGAAAAAATACAACCTTGATCAAGCATACACACGCAAAAACCTGTATTAAGGAAAACCTGAATGGATCTTCCCCCGGAGTCTCGCGAAGAGGGTGTGGAAAATTGGTTTATAAAATACGTAACCGAAAGACTAGACTTCATTGAAATAAATGACATATAAAAAAACTAAGGAAACTTTTCGCGGTTACAAAAGATCACGTTCGCTTCTAAATAAAAAGGACGATTTTGAAAAGTTTCTTTCTAATGCTAGTAAAATTCTACAGTGAATATTTTCATTACCTAGAAACTGGGTCAATCCAGTTTGCTTTTCTGAAACGATGTTTTTGTCATGTTACCTAAGCTTCCCCAAATAAAGGATCTTTCCACTGACAAGTGATCGAGTTTGAAAGACGACTGCCCTTTTTAAAGCTCAAATTTCAAAAGTATCGCAAAAAATGTCGATTCTTCGAATAAGTTAGTTCTTTCGAACACCATTCGTGCGTGTGTTGATCCCGGAGAAACTAAAATTCCTACTTCTGTATGTCTTCCATATACTCTGAACTTGAACCATGTTTGACACCGTCATCAAAAGAGTCAGTTTCCTCCAAGAGCTAGGGAAGTTTGGAGATGCCTTTTGACATTACGTATAAAAAATTGATAAAAATTGATAAAAATTGAACCCTCACTAGGAAATGCATTTCGCGCCTTTCTTTTGTTGGTTATTTAACTTTGCGCCGTCCCGAAGAAACTGCCCCAACGTCGTTCCTAGGGTCCTCTCCTACTCGCTCTCCTGAGCAGGAGAAGACCCTGGAAACGAAGTTGCAACCCTCCCTGTTTTCCGAGCGAATCTGAATGTTTTCATCGCTATTTTTCCCTCAGAGGCAGAGAATGACGCAGTGAGAGACACAACACAGACAGCTCATGGGAAACCCAACGAAACACAGGACCTCAAAATCAAAGAAGAGCCAGTTAGTCCTGTTAGCTTCGAGGAAAATAGATTCTCAGATTCCGAAGAACAAAATCGCAAAAGGTCCTCCAGCGACGGTGAAAAAGAACGAGAGCAGGAACCCGAGCGTCCAAAAGTACCTCGCCTGTCCCCCCACAGAAAGGAAACTGAGACATTTAGATCATCCCTAGAGCTGCTTCAGCGAATATTCCCTCACCAGAGCAGAGCTATCTTAGAGTTAATCCTCGGCGCCTGCGAAGAAGACATCGTCAAGGCCATCGAGTCGCTTCTCCCAGAAAACAGTCTGAGACCTTTTTCGTTTCCACTATCCGCCAGAGGCTTTGGATCAGGGACGCTAATTCCTTGCGACAGCAGTTCCAAGTCAGCGTTCTTGCCCATTGCAAAATCTCCATCGTATGCATATCCGGGAACTCTACCTTTGCAGTCGCCATCGCTGAAAAGCCCGAGTGAGAAAAGCCCGGGTACTCCCAGTGCATTTCAACCTGTCCACCCATGCAGCCCGGCTGAACTAAGCCCATCACTACCGGAGAGATTCCAGTTCCCAGTCATGGCGGGGTATTTCTTCAACCGGCCCGCGGCACCGTCAGCGCTTAATATCCTGCTGGATTCTCCGCACCAAAGGACTGGGTCAGCTCCACCCTCATCAAGGTTCTGTAGGCATTGTGGGTTTTCAAGCAAAGTGGGGGACAAGTTTTGTAGCGAATGCGGCAAGGCTTTGGAGTAATGAAAATGGACTGAACTTCACATTTGGGGGAATAACTGCTACTTCTTCCTTTCTACTAAAGCCGGACGCAAAGCGAATTAGAAAAAGATTCAAGAATTTCCACAAGGAAGATCGCCGGGTCGTGCCGTCACGGAACAAATGAACCCAAGAATGGAAGGAAAGAACTACTCAGTAGCCTTTACAATAAAAAATTCATCTCAAGACCTTAAAGTTCGAATTATCTTGTACAGCAAAGAAACCACAGTTAAGTTCAGTGGCCGTATAATTAAAATGCCGCACTTGAGTATTTCATCCAGTTTCAACAGTTAAGACCGCGGCTTTGCATAGTGAACGATAGTTTTGCTATTAGGGGTCACTTTAAGTGGCCTCACCTTTGAATCCCATCCACGAATGACATTTATACTTACCTACAAGGGAGAATAGGACTAGCAACAACACTAAAAATTGTTAAGTTTGATTGAGTTGTCACTCATCGGACATGTTGGAATCGTTTATCATTGTAAGCAACGCATATTGTGCCGGTTACAGAGGCTAAGCACTTTTAGTGTAGGTTGAGTAACAACACATATATGATTATAAAAGTGTCGCATCACAGTTATTATTATTATTATTACTATTATTAATTATTATTATTATTACAATAAAAACCCGCATTTAAGAACCTACAATTTAAGAACCTGTTAGCCTAAAATTTTCATTTTAAACCCTCTTTTCATAAGAACCTATAGCTATTTAGCCTAAAATTTTCAATATTTTTAACAGAAAAAAAATTACACTAGGTTTCAGTCAGTTAAGATAAAGATGAATTTACTGTATGCTTATCATCCAAACTGTATTTTAGTCTATAATTATTTAATACAGCAATATATTCCATATCACATATGCCCTTTAGTAGTTATTTGTGCTGATCGTTAGTGCCCCTATCAAATTAAGAACCTATTTAAGAACCTAAGTAGCTTAAAATCCCACTTAATACCACTTCTATAAGAACCTACTCAGGCTAAGTTGGAAAAATCTAGGTTCTTATACGCGGTTTTTTACTTTATAACTTTATTATTGTTTTTTGCACATCAGTATTGGGAAGAAAAGAAAAAAGTAAATTATTCTTAAACACTGCAGTAGTTGAGCCAAGAAGAGTGGATATTTTAGCCTACCCATAGAAAGGAAATTTAGAGTGTAAAATCTTAGAAAAAGTCACCAATTGTAAGAAAAAATGCAGTAATGCAGTCGCGATGTTAGCGCAGGGAACTGCAAAGTTATTTTTGGAATAGCGCCGGAGACAAATTGTGGCAATTTAGAATGGTGTAAATTACGAATAGAAGGGACCAAACGAGTTAATTTTATTCTCCTGTTTCTGTTTAAAACCAAGATAAGCCTGGGTATGAACGCACCCTCAAAACTGAAGGAAGGAATGAAATAAAAATTGCAACAAATATCATTAAAGGGTTTCTGAAAATATACTTCGAAACATGGATGGTGTACCAGAATCACCGCTGTGATTTCTACAAAATATAATCAAGGGCCACGAACATATCTGGTTGGTGGGTTAGAGATCCATGCATAACCTGTTTCCAACCAGCGTGGTGCTGCAATAAGATTCTCAGGAACTCCCCACCTACCCCTCCCCTTTTAACCCGACATTAATACTAAGTTTCCACTTAGGGAAAAATCTTCTGGATTTTTCCAGAATCTTACAATGAGCCAACGCTTGCATGCCTCTCTTGCAGTTTTAGAGATTTAACACGTAATAGATGGTTGTGACCAGCCACTCTCTCTCAACTGTGCACCCACGAGTTAAGTTCAAGAAAAAAAACACTGTAATTTCGGTTTTTGAAAAATATAACAATACAAAGAGTACCAATTGATACCAGTGCTCTAGAGGTTTCCTTTTAATAGTCACGCCATACGACTTTGTCAGAAGATCCGAGAGATAGAAACGCATTGTACAGCATAATAAACAGGACCAAGGGAAAGTACGGCTCTAGCGGCTCATTCTTATACCAAAACATTTTGTCCAAAGATGAAAGTAAGAACAGCGTACTTCCTGCCGTAAATGCTCGGCACTGAAAGCGGTACCTACAATAACACCACGAGATCACCAGGATCGCCGTTCACAACGTATCCACAAATGATGTTGTGTAATAAGCTCGCAATGACCATACGGTAGTACATGCTTTTAGGTTTCCACCACAACAGGCGCACAGTCTTCAGGTTCGCTTTCAAAATCCCAGGTAAATCGCTTTGTTATATGTTTTCGAAATCGGCGCGCCTTTTCAACAAGCCTTTTCTCAACTGTTGTTGAGTTTTCCAAGTTAGAGAAAAACACCTAAAAGAATAAAGGAATGATGAGTTCATCAAAAACGTAAAAGACGGCAGTTTCAGAAAAAAACCCGACTGTTTTGCAGTCTTACAGTGGTTTGGAATTAAGTAAAGCATGTCCCTAATAAAAAACCACTCGCTCAGGCTTACAAATGAGGCTAGCGAAGACGATTATAGTGGTATTTTGAGAAAGAGTACTCGCGAAGAAACTAGATGTGTGCATTTTAGCTCCAGTTTCAGTCTTGCCAAAAAATCAACAACGTTAAAACTTTCTTTTCTAGACCAACTTATGGCGAGATGATGTGCCACTTTAACTTCTTAATCTGTGGACAAAGCCCGATGGCGTTGCCCCAGGAGTATTACCATTCATTATCAAACCTTTGGGGCGGGACTATACCCGTTTATTTTTTTTAGAATTTTTAGAAAAGCTTGTTTGTTTGTTTGATTGAGTTTTTTTGGTTGAAATTTTTACTAAAATCTTTATGAGGAAAAAGGGGCCAAGGACTTTCGGAAGACAAAACAGATCTACAGGAGAACAATTTTGAAGCTGGTGCTACAGGGTGGCATCAACTTTTTACAAAAATATCGTTTTATGTACCTGTAAAGTTGTGGTGAGAAAATTATTTGTTGACACAATGTCCACAAAGAAATCTTTAGGAATTTCCATCAGTTGAAAATGTAAAACTCCTGGAAAAGCAAAGTAATGCTGGTTTAGTGATAGAGTAACCCTACTGCCTACCGATAGGTAAGTACGTTGTCAACGTCTTGCGATTGAACAACCACGAAAACGACGACAACGACAACGTCAAAAAACAATACATTTCATGAGCAAAACAACAGCTCTGCACGTGTATCAAGCTTTTTAGTACATTTCTTTGACGTCCAGTGATGGAGGACCTGAACATACGAGGACGAATTTTCTTTTTCTCTTTTTTTAAAGTCCTTAAGAATTGAACTCCAGAAACAATCGTCCACATTTGACAAATTGACCGAGTATAATAGCCGTGCGGTTGCCGCTGTTTGCCGCCATTTTTTATCTTGCGCTTCGCTTCAAGCAGATCTCGACGAAGGATATTCACCCAAAATGTTTTTCTTGTTCAATTGCAAACTTTACTTAAAGTGACCAAAGTTTTTGTATAATTTCACTGCTTGAGTTCATATCGAAACGACTGGTTTCCAATCAGTCGCCGCATTGAAGGTAATCCAAGACAGCCTTGGATTCTCGATTTCAGTTTTCAGATACTGGATTGCCCTAAGGTTAGTGATTCCTAAGACCTTAGGAACTCGACTTAAGGCCTAATCTTTAACAGTGGGAACGAGTCAGGTTAGGAGAGGTTGCGGTTTAATGTCATCTTGTAGCTATATTACTTGGAGATATATTGGAAGTCCTTGGTATATAACGAACGATTATTCTTCACCTCAGTAATAGTAAAATATATGGTAAACAACCTCGATAAAACAAAAACTCGTTATAGTGACCGTATTTTACCGAAGTTCCTTAGCCCTTTGTTATGACGAGGTTGTACTGTACTGGGAAACAACACCCATGACAGCTGTGAATCAGGTACCCAGGGGAGGGGGGGGGGGATACTTTAGGAAGTTTTGGGTGGGGATGTGCCGGTGGGACCCTGGAACCCTTAGCCTATACCAGAGCTAGTTCAGCTGAATTTTGCTACCCTTATATACCAGACTAAACTCCCCCAATCCCTTTTCCTAGAGTAGCTTTTTTTAAACTTAAACTTGACAATTTGACTTTACGGTTTTCCTAGTCTAGACTAAAATCTTCAACCAATTGATCAGTTTCCTAGAAAATGATACTCTATTCTGGACCCAAACTCTCTGATTTGTATACCCAATCCCAGAGTAAACTGCTTGAAAACCATACCCTAAGCCTTTACAGCGGCACACACCTATATACCCCATATATGGCAGAACTCTCCCCCACAGGATCAAGTACGAAAGCTTTTTACAATACATTAAAGAGCACCCCATCTTCTCTTCTGTTCTTTCAAACAAGGTTTCTGATGGAACAAAAAAGTGGAGGCTGTCAATCAGTTCTTGTAATCTCACTATCAGCACTTACCTATGAGAGCATCAAATATGTCAGTATACATTGGCAATGCTTCATCACAACTGCACAGCATATTAAGAAGTTTCTTCCAGTGCTCAAATGCATCATACACTAGAGAAATGAGACATAAACTTTATATCTTTCTTTCTTCATTTGCCACGATTCAAGTAGTCTCCTTCATAACCAGTCTGACCAGAGTCATGCAATGCTCCCTGCCCCCCCGGCTCCCCGGCTCCGAATATAAAAGTGACGGGGATGCTCGGTGGAAAATTCAAATTAAACCCCTAAGGGAGACCAATGTGGGTGTGGCTCAAGCTTAAACTGACCCCTAAGGGAGATTTCCATGTAGTCAGTGTCAGGGCATTTTTTGTAAATTTCTTTATGCACAGTACTGTAAGCGATACCTGAATGGGCAAATATGGTGACTTTCCATCCCAAAACACCCTAAATGAGACAAAAATCTGCAATTTACACTACAAAGCAAGATGACGAGCATTCCCTGTCACTTTTATATAGGAGTTACCTCCCCCACCCTAGGAAATCTTCCTGCAGTTGGAAATGATAGCCAGACAAATCAAATAATCAAGACTATCAACTTACTTGTGGCTGGATATTTGCAAAGTGATATAAATTATATGTATGTCTAACAATTTTTTTGGAATGTTCAACAACAGTGATGACTTTCTCTACATTGTAGAAATATGTTCTTTCATAAAAAAAACAAAAACATTATTAATGGCAGTTTAATGGAATGCCTTTTGTGCTAAATAAAATAATATGTTTTCCTTTCAACTAAGTTGCCTAATGGATAGCAAACTAAAGATTGAGGCACTTACCTTGACCAACAAGGAAGCACACAAAGGCAAACTGGAGCTCACCCAGAATTTCCTTCCTGTCTTCAAGAAAAAAATGTTTGTCTTACTTTTAAAGCTGGTTTATTTTGTTGGCAACAAAGTAAGCAGTGGAGTTGTAAGAACATTAAGAGTTTAAAATTAAGTGAAAACAAGAAACTGGAGCTGCAAGCCAAGTCATAAGAATGATAGAAAGGATTGGAGTGACCAGAACAAGAATGTTCCCATATAATAATTATTTAATTTTTTTTCTGACTCTGCTGTCTCTGTCTCTTATGATGTGGTCAAAACTAGCTGGATTGTCAGGTTCACTCAGGCAGAAGCCAAAGAACTAAACCAATAATCTCCCACTTCTACGTCTTGCAACTCAGACTATCTTGTTTTCACTTGATCATATTTAAGCTACAAAGCATAAGCCACAGAGTATAACCTCTACAAAGTTTTACTAAATTTATGTTAAATACTTTTAGCTTACAAATGTGACTGAAACTTCCTGTAAAACTTACAGAAAGAAGGCAAAGTGTCCTTGCCAGTCTCACAAAGCCATAACTTTTCAAAGTGGAGATTAGATTAAAATCTTTTATTCTTCCCTCAAGCCCTTAATATTTGCAGTGGGGTGGGAGTGGACCATTTCTTCAAAAACAGGAATTCAAGGTCAAACTAGATATTTCATCATGACACATTCTTGGCATTCATTATCATGGCACAAGTCATCATCATCATTATTCTGTCCGCACTATAAGGATTTATAAAGGTTGCAATTAGTCCAACCTGCCCTGTTTTGTGACCCTGTTCTGGCCACTCCCATCACAGCTGAAAGCTACCAGTTACTCAAACTATCACAGTTAGATAATGACTTCTACACTCTGAGTTAAAGCAGCCCTTAACAATTCAGGACAATCGCCATTTCTAAAATCAGTTAAATACAATTGACATCAAAGGTGCAGACCACCCAACTAGTGCACTGAATTGGCCAAAACAAACGCTTCCCGACACCTTTTTTGCAACAACTGAGTGATTTTTTGTGTGCTGATTGGTCAAGAGCTATGGTTGATAAGAACCAGCACAGACCTTGGAAATGGCATGACAATGGCTCAATTTGTTTTCACTTTCCTCTCATGCGTGGCTTTCTGATGAGAAATGTCAGCGGAAATTAACTTCAAGAACAATCAACATTATGTAAAAAAAATCAACAACGAAATTTTTCATTGTCTGTACTCTTATCGATCATAGGAATGACGTCAAAATGTTTGAAACTTTGCAGTGTGACCACTTGCCTATGGCTCTTGGCTCCAATTGAGTTTTGATTATTCTGATGTCATTTCTTAATGGCCGATATAAAGAGTGCAGACAATGGAAACTTGTTTTTGATTTGTTTTTGTGAAAATTTTTGAAAACTAACCTTTCATGCTCTTAAATAAGCAACCAAGAGCATGACTGCTGTCTATACTGTACTTGCTGATTTCCATGGGTGTTGCTCCCTCTGGGTAATTCTGTATGGGAAATTCTGTGAATCTAATCACAGTTTCTGGGTCTCGCTGAAGTGACAAAATTGCATCTTTAGATGGAGAACCAGTGTTTCTTGTATGCTGAGGTTCTTGAGGTAGTTCAGTGACAGATGAAATCTTCTTGCATCTGGGCTGAATTCTCTCCAGCAACTCTTTAGTTATGTGATTGGTTAGTGACACCCACTTCTTTAAGTTCTCATGTGGGTAAGGACCAAGAAATCTGTCCATGTCTTGCAGACCTAAATAATAATTATTATTGTATGAGAAAGTAAATAATCTAAATTAACAGAACTTAGAACTTAGAATTGATACTCCCAAAGACAGAGTCCAAAATTGATAGAGCCGCCATCTGGCCATTTTTGGTCCCCTTAATTCATTTTTTATTTCAAAATTTTCTTTTCTTCCACAACAGCGATGGGAACACAAGTCAAATTCTGCCAAGCACAGCAGAGGGTAACGTCAAGCTGCAATGTTACTTCCATGATTAATCTTTTCCCTTAGCAATTAAGATCATTTTCTTTTACCTTCAAAACCCACACTGTCTGTGTCCTTAGAAAATACAAACTCTTTGGTCTCTTCTTTGTCGTCCAGTAACTGACTTAACTAACTTTTGGCAGTTTAAAAAGCACTGGGAAAAGTGACGTTAATAAAATTAATATTCATGTAAAGAAGAAAGCACCCGTGTTTAAACACCTGTATGTGCCCAAGGTAATGCAAGTTAGAGATAACTGCTGTAAACAATATGGTGGCCACAAAAATGCAGCCACACATCAGTTCTGAACGTGACAACACAAATAACTGTTGTGTGAAGTTAGAGGGAGAAAAGGTAAGTCAAGTTTGAACAAAAACAGAAGATTATCCAATTTTTGGTCACCTACTGACGACTAGCCTTGAAATTCTGGTCGCCAGCTTTCAATTTCTAGGTGCATTGAAAGAGATAGATTCCTATTGTACTGGGAGGAAACTGTCAGCTTTTATAGCCTATGCATGCAAGAGGATAAATGGGTACCCTTAAAAGTTTAATGACAGACAAGAAACAAGAATTGCTCTTGTGAGAAAAAACATTGTTTTTTGTAGTTTGTGATAATTGAGTTCAAGTTGTCTACACCCGATTACTCGTCGTCAGCTTTTTTGTGACTACAATGTCATCTTGGGTACGATTCATCGGTGTGAGATATACCGTCCGTGAAAGTAAGAGTCATTTATAAAAGAACCATTTAGTAACTAAAAAAACCCATATCACAACAATCTGAAAAGTGGTGTACATGACTTTAGTACTAATCCTGCATATGCCAGCCGTAGATGCTAAAAGTCTATAAATTCAATTTCCATTTATTTCCTATGTTATATGATCTTTCAGGAAAATTTTTTTTAGGATTGGAAATTCAGAATAGGAATTTTGGGTCCATGGATTTTTGGGGGGTTTCGTTAGAAGCCCTGCAGATATTTTTGGGTTTTGATTTTCCCCCCTTATGATCATCCCTGTCACTTTAACTGTGGAGAAACCATTTGGAGAATACACCCTTGAGTCAGTGTTTGACAATTGCAGGAGGCAGATTGTTGACTGTAAATTGAAAATTGAGTGACACCAAAAATACTGTAATGAAGGTGATATCATCAGCAATATCATCTCATTTCCAGGCATCTATGAAAATGTAAGAAAGTATAGCTTTAGAACGTTAATATTTCTTGGGCAAACTTCCACGGCATTGTCCACAAAATGCTGCTGGCTTATCTTCACCAACCTATACTAGAAATACGTTATAGCAAAATCCTTGTGAAGCTTTAAAGGATCAGCAGTGAGAATAAAGGGAAACAAGCGAAAGGGAAAAAATGATCAAAAAACAAAAAGAAAAAAATGTACAAAGTTTAAAAATAATGACTTAGCCGGAATTTGAAATTGCAACCTCCAAATCTGCTAGAAGGGAGGATTGACCCTTGACCACTGTGCCACGTCCACGCAGCGACTGAACAACGAGGAGGTTAAAATTATTACACTTAAAGCATTTTTCTCTGCCATGAACGCTGTTTGAAGTTGGTGGAGCTGTATTTAACATGAATTCAAAGATACATTCGAGGAAAATTAGCTTAAAAGCGTATTTCAAAGCCATTTAATTTGCATTATTTTGGTCTTAATTCACTCTGGGGTTCGACGGCGGATGGAACCAGTCTTTGATCACATCGATCAGCGGGGAAAGAACTAATTCATTGTTGGTTTGCCTCAGTGTAACATGAATTCAAAGGTGTACACAGATTTTGGGAAAAGCAAGGTTTTCACAGTAAAAAGCTGACGTAAACACATTTTTGAATAAAACATGATAGTGTTCCACAACATTTGCATTTGCACTTGAAGTAGCATTGCCTGGCAACCCTAAAATGTACCCTGACGTCACAACTGGATGACGCCAACTGCGGACAGCCAAGAGATCTATAGAAATATTCACAACTCGAATTTCTGCCTCGCTGTGCAATCAACTCATGCGTGCGTACAACAAATTCATACACCTCACGAAGGCACCTCGCTGTGCTCAGAATCAACTCATACCAACACTTGTGATGGCTTCAGATATCCAAGGAGAATTGTTTGTTCTTTTTTCATAGGTTAGGTTATTGTTGTTAACAGATAATGACAAATTGCCAGCTAGTTTGATATTGTACATACACAGTGGACTGACCTATAATAAATTATTGTCTAGTTGGTTATCCTGTCTGTTGCAGGAAACAACTCTGACAGATCAAGGATACTCTTATGACACATTTCAAATAATGAAAATATTTCCTCAAACATCTTGGGAGTATTAAGGGAAGATAAATGTCAAAACACAATTACCTAAAACAAATAAACAAATCATACATTAATTAGCCTGCGTGGCAGGCGTTCGAAAGGGAAGGGGAAGGGAATTAGGGCGCCCTTTCCTTTCTCCCTTGCACGCCCCACCCGCTCTCATGCGCCCAAATTCCCCTTCCCCTTTTAATGCCTGCCACACAGGGTAATCATACATAGAATCTTATACTACTACTTAACAGTGAAAGATGAAACAGTCGAATCATTAGGAACAAGGCTCCTGTTAATGTTTCCTGTTGCTATGAATTCACAGGTGAACAACATATGTGTAGACTGTGCTACTCATCTCTCTCAATACAAGTCAATGAAGAACAGCCAAAAGCATTTTGGGAATGCAGCCAATGTAATTTGGGGTGGAAAATATCAATCTTGCTCCCAGACTACTTTCTCAGTTTCTTAGAAGCCTGGGAATGAGATGATACTATAGATGACATCACCTTTATAACGATATTTTGGCATCAGTCAATGTTCAGTCTTGACATTCAATTGGCCATTTGCACAATGTCATTTTACTACTACATCCAGAATCTGTCAGGGTTTTGCTTTCTTGAGCTTTTGTTATTTAACTTATTCAACCTAATTCAAATATGAATTCAAAGGAAAAACCAAAAGGATTCTGGTTGTAGTAGTTAAAAATGAAGCCATCTTGCAAATGCCTTTTAACAGTCTGCAATCTATAGAGTGTTTTCACTCACGTGGCCAGCATCTATGCAAATTTATTGAAACAAAAGGTAGCGTTTGCATAAGAAGAGTTCAACTCCCACAGGACTGGTTTGGGACACCAACATGGCGGCCGTTTCATTGTTTTGGGACACCAACATGGCCGCCATCTGTGGTCTGTAGTCTCCAGTTTGTTTACGTCAAACACCACCATAATGACAGTCTAATGGGCATGTACCGGTATTTGTTCATCAGAGGCTAGGCTGAGTATTGTTTGGATTTGGCCTCCTCCATTTTATCAGGGGCACCCAACAAAAATTTATATAGTTCAAAACTACTTAAATATAACATTGTAAACGTATTTCAGTATTTAAAATTGTAGATATAGGCATACTTTTATCCCCTAAATATTTTTTATCTGTTCGGATTTCCTAGTTGAAAGTCTAGTGAACCGAAAACTATAGGGATCAAAACTTACCTTTTCGAAAATTTCAGCCAGAAAAAAAGGCTCCCGAAAATTCTAGGTGACCTTTTTAGGATAAAAATCCGTTAAAAGTGGGCAATTATACCATTTTTTAGATGTTCGAAAATCCTAGGAGGGGCAGGCTAGCAAGAAATTTTACAAAAAATGTTCCGAAAATGCTAGATCTCAAATCGTCTTCCAATCAGATATATTCCGAAAATTGACGTTGGGTGCCCCTGATTTTATGAAGGTTTTGGCAATTCTTGTCTCTTTTCCAAGAAACGAAAGAATTTCCAAAACCCTTTATGTATATCCAACACAAAAACGTAAGATACCTTGGCGATATCTGCCGATTTCTTCTTCATTAGTTGCTTTCTCCATTAAGTCCTCAGTAGCAGTGCTCCATTTTAGCACCATGATATCTCGTCGGCTAGTGTACAAAAACAGACCAGTCCTGGGAGAAGTTTGCCCTGTTCTGTTAACAGCACTGTAATAAATAAAATGGAGTCCAGGAGGTATCATCTTCACTCCTTTAAACCGTGGACCAACGTTCCACGAGAAATAATCAATGCCAAATTCTGTTCCTTCGGGAACATCCAAAACTATCAAAGTTGCTCCCTCTGCGTGCAGGCGTTTTGCAACTTCAGGGTCCATTTGTGAGTTCTTATTAATACAAAGATTTATGCACAAAATCGAACAAAGATATATTCTGTTAGGGCACGTTTTTCTTTGGCAAGTTCTTCATACTTATAACGTCAAGCGAACGAAGTCGACCGCCATATTGAACGAGCTGGTTTTAGTACCCAGTCTCTCACCAAAGTTGTATAAATTTCCTTCTGTTTGAAAATGTACATTACATCTGATTTCAATTACATTGTAAAAATGTCCGAAAGCGCTATACACGGGATAAATCTTCCTTCAACAGAGAAATCTTCGTACAAAGGCATGCAAAATGCAAAATCTAGATGGATCAATATCTTTACAAAAAAATGCAAAAAAGGTTCATATATTTGAGTATAACAATTTATTTCCTCTCAATCTTGATTTTTAAAATCTGTGCTACAAAACTCACGGAAATAATGCTAATACTGTGTTTTCGTTGCAAATGACATAAGTATCAATAGTGATAACTATAAATTATATAATATATATAAATACATTGAATAGTCATTGCCTTGAATGTTGTTTGTTTCTAACTAATACAAAGTTTCAAACTTTAAATTTTCTTCATTCTTCAGGATCCAGTCCTATAAAGGTGTTCATTTTTTCAAAACAGACACTGAGATACTAAGCTATATACAATACTTCTCAGCTGAAAAGGATCTACTGTCACCGTATTAATGTAGAAAAACATAGTGCACATTTTTTACAACAGAGGATTAAATTATACTTAAGTTTGTTTTTGACATCCACGAACAAAAGTCTTGATTTATTACAAAACAGTTGATGGTAAACATGGATCATGTTGTTTTGTAGAATGTTTTGAAAGTAAACTGCAGCTGGTGTAGTCATGACCAAGAAACACAGATCCATTTACCATCCAAGGAAAAAAGGTGATTTAACATTATCATAATGCATGTATCAATAATATTATTAATCTTTAACTGGCAACAATTTATTACAATTACAAAAACAATATCTAGATCACTGCATACTCTGTCACTGGTGACAACCATTTGTTGGCACTTAAATGCAAAATGCATTTATTTACAATATGCATTATAATGCAAATGTTTCATTAATGGCATTCAAAATGTTCTTTAGTATTATACTGATCTATAATATTACATCTATCTTTATCACAGGGATTAGTTTAGAATGACAACACAGAGAAAGCCCAAAATAACCAGTTTATGAAAATATTTGTGGAGACTTCAGATCAACAACAGTGACAAGTACAATCAGCTGTTAATACAAGAAATAAAAATAGCAACATCGATACCTGCACAAATGGCAGACAATATTTGGCCTGCTGCCTGTCAGCTGTGAGCATAACTACATGTACCTGTCATCATTGATGCTGAGATTGACCTCACACATTAATCAATCATTGGTGAAAAAAAAAATGTTTTAAATTTTCTGTCACTGAAGTTGTATACAGCATATAAGCGGTAGCTAAAGTACAGGATATTCTGGCCTAAATGGATGAATTTTGTAATTTCTTTAAAACAAACAAAAACAAAAACAGCAAAACAAGAAAGATCTACAGATGTTCACACACTGTCTAATTCATTAAATGAGACAACAAAGGTAGTTATGCTCCCAGCCTTTCATACTAAACTTATGCAATTACCAACAGATCATAAAAGGCCTTATTTAGAGTTGTTGTTTTTTTATTGTTGAAAATGGTAACATTTTAAAATAAATATCATAAATTAAATGATTGGTTGGATTTAGTTTCCGGTACAGTTCAGGTCAAAATGAGTCAATGTACCTCCACATTTTTAAGGGATGTAGTATTTTACCCAGTGGAATTTGACATACAAAGGATATGTTATGGTAGAGGTTAAAAAAACATCATTAATTTTGCTGAGTGGGTGTAGAAACAGAAACATAGACTTAATAAAGCAAAGAAAGATTTAAGCCTTTCAGCCCTAAGAGTGATCAGAATCAAATTTCTCCTTCCCATATCAATGCTTTGTAAAACAGATTGTTGATGAAAATTTAGGACAAGATCACATAATATGAATTAACTTCAACAAATTCTCCCAAATTCCTTCTATGGGAAACATATAGGAATAGTGCAACTTATTCTTTTCAGCTGAGCTTTTATGGTTGTCTGAAGGACAGATGATTTTTACAAAGAAAGTGTAAACATCTGGCTATTTCTATACAATGTTGACTTGGAACAATGAGAATTTATAATACTACTACCTATACATGCAATTTGTTGATAACCTTGCCAAGTGTATTTTCAGGACTGGGTAAAAGACTCTCCATTCTGATAAGCAAGCGTTCCACTGTAATGGTTTCTCCACTGTTTCCAATGGCCACATGCTCAATTCGGGGACTGCATAACTNTGAAAATTTAGGACAAGATCACATAATATGAATTAACTTCAACAAATTCTCCCAAATTCCTTCTATGGGAAACATATAGGAATAGTGCAACTTATTCTTTTCAGCTGAGCTTTTATGGTTGTCTGAAGGACAGATGATTTTTACAAAGAAAGTGTAAACATCTGGCTATTTCTATACAATGTTGACTTGGAACAATGAGAATTTATAATACTACTACCTATACATGCAATTTGTTGATAACCTTGCCAAGTGTATTTTCAGGACTGGGTAAAAGACTCTCCATTCTGATAAGCAAGCGTTCCACTGTAATGGTTTCTCCACTGTTTCCAATGGCCACATGCTCAATTCGGGGACTGCATAACTTTACCTCTCTGAGGTGTGTACATTTTTCTCTTAGCTCCTGAACCAAGTCCCCATCAGTGTCATCAATGAGCTTAAAATTGATCAGGGACACAGCCTCTATGAGGGGACACATTTTGATCAAATTAGGTACCAGGGGGCTCTCTGAAAGAGCCTCCTTTCGAAGAGGTCCAAACTCCAAAATCCTCAATTTGGAAACAAATTTAAACATTTCTGCAATGACTGACGGAGGTACCCTCGGGGAGTGACTCACCCCCAAGTACCTCAAGGAGGGGGACTGTTGCAGAACGCCCTCCAAACATTCCGCAGACAGGAGAAAGTTCCACCGGAGATCCAGAGTTTCTAGACATTTGTACGCCAATGTCGGCCTTACTTCCTGATAGATTCTCAAGTGAAGAATGTGCCGAAATCCGCATTGGTTCATTTTGAAGTAACGAATGTCCGGCAAGCGAGAAATCACGTTAGAAAGTCCGGTTGTGGTCACGAAATAACATCCTGTTAAATCGAGTTCCTTCACCGCCGTTTTTTCCCAGTTTACCGCCATCAATGCTTCATCTGTTATCTTAGTAAAGCGTATAAGAAGTGTAGAAACTAATCTACAGTTGTTGAGGACCCGATGGAGGTACTTGCCTCGGTAGTTTTTACATTCGTTCAAGCAAATCGATTCCAAATGCGGGCAGTTCACGGAGATCTTGAGAAGTGCGTCATCGGTCAAAGTCTCGCAATCTGTGCAATCCAAAATCCTTAAGTTTCTCATTTTAGCGAAAACATCAGGCACAAGACTTTCTGATGAGTCCATTCCCAGCCCTACGTATCTCATTTGAGTAAAATGCCTCGGTAATCGCCTCATAAACTTGAAATTTCCCCACGAGTAGCGCAAGTCCATCAACTCCAAACCCGTTGGGAAGTCGCGTATTCCTTCGTGGCTCGTTTCGCTCTCAACTTCAGCTCCATAAAAGACCAAACTGCGCAGCTGATAGCACCTTTTTGCAAGCTCTTTTGCAACCTTTGCCGTGAGTGTACAGCCTCCCAGATTTAATGCTTTTGCCGAAGATAGGCGCGTCCGGATCAACATCAACAAAGTCTCCTCATCGATCGCAGGCCAGAAATCATTCATGTCAACAACGAACCAAAGCGAGCGATCGTAAGCTATGCGTCTCCAGCGCCAGCAAACTTGGGCCACAACACCAAGTTCTCTTTTAGTTAGGTAACTAAAAACCTCAAGAATAACGGAGTCAGGTATTTGTTTCTCCATTTTTGCAAAAGTACGCTACGGTCGATTGTGGTCTCGCAGCTGGCGTTGTAACTTTCACCACGCGCGGAAAAAAATTGCGTGCTACAAGCTTTCAACCAAACGTATTGAATTCGCGTTCCTGTATCGCGATCGAAGTTCCTGTTTCAAGCTTACGCCATATACAAACCACAAAAACATGGATGGTCGGAACTGAGAACATATTTTTCGCACGAAAGGCTATCCATGCTTCTACCACCGGATCGCACTATCACCAAACACTAAACTCATTATGAAAAGCTCTTTACATTATTGTTTCGCCGGATGAGCGACCAATGCCCACTTGTTTCTGAGCGCTGATTGGAGATGAGGTGTGACGTCACGTCTAATAAACAAAAGAAGCTATTTCGAGACAATAATCGCCTTTGAAACCCCGCGTCACGCGCGCGATATGGAACGCGAAAAACGCTTCAAAGCTGCTTGGGAGCGTCGCGTCGCTCAAACCAAACCCTTTCCACTATTAAACAAAGTAAATTCAAATGATATTCGTGTGATTTTATTACACTCCTTGATCTTGCCTCATTCCAATGATTTGAATGTAATGAAATTTATTGTAAGAGGCTAATAAATGCAGATACAGGAAATAATTACTCAGTGGACAGCACTAGCCATTAAATGAAAGTGGCTTTGGCGAGTGGGCATATGCTTACCGAAGAAAACCAGTGTTTTTACCCTTTTTTTTAACAACATTTTTTACCTAGATTTATTCAAAACAAGACCCTCTCTTTAAGATCAAAGCAGAAGCTCTGAACATTTTTTTGTCATTTCCTTTCATGGTGATATTTTGCTAAGAGGCTCATATCGATTGTTAGTTTGACAGTAATAATGATTCGAAATATATTATTTATGTTCGGCTTTTTTCACACAAATATTTGACCATGTATGCATACGCCTCGACTCCATTTCTCCCACTCAAAGCAAAAGTTCAAAACTCGCGAAGAGTTTCCTCTTTCTATCTAAACGCATCATAGTCGATTTCGCTCCCGGGTATGTGGAAATTGACTTGTGACCTCGAGTCAGTGTTGTTTCATTTCACGAGTCAGCACGTGAGCTAGCTAACGTGAACGCTGAATTGCGCTAAATCAGTATTACTTTCGTAATTTGGAAATTCTAATCGTTTTGAACTACGAACAGGAAATTAACAGAAACTGAGCTTGCATGCCGCAAAACAGAAGCCAAGGAGATTGCGAGAAGTACCCCTGAATCCGTGAATCCGGCCATATGACCGAAAACAAGAGGCTCTCCGCACATTGAAGAATTTACATACACACTCAAACGCCAAAATCCTGCTCTTAGCGTCAGTAACTGCTTTGAAATGAAATCTATAGAATCAATATGCATTTACCGCGCAATACAGATCAATTCTAGGCGGTTCAGACACCAGGTTTCGATTTGCCGACCCCTCATTGAGACACTTTGAAACTACGCTGTTATACAGTACACTGTGCATCTATCGGGGGGCACCCAAACCACGATCTCCTCCTCCTAATTGACGATTACATTGAAAACAATTTTAGGCTTTCCACAGTATTTTTTGATCTCTATGTATTCTAAGCAGCGCTATAAAACCATTTGTATCTGTTCGGTGATCCCAGCGGTACTTGAGTCTTTTCGAAATTACAAGGGTTTTCGTATTATTTTCCCGAAGATTTTAGATAGAATTTAACGTATTACAAAAGTGAGAATTTTACTGATTTCTTTCTCCATCACATTTTTAAATCCGAAAATATTTTTTAAGGAGTGAAACTTGAAAAACTAACTTAAGAAAACCGTAGGGGATTTATGAGACAAGCCTCGAAAATTGTACATGATCTTGGAACGCCACCTAGGACATCTAGAAATTTTCAGCCGTCCTCAAGTAATGGAAAAGTTTAAGCAACATCTGCTTCTCCGAACAGATATTTTACAGAACAAAGTCATCGGGTGCTCCTGATCTACAAGTTATCATTACGTAAGATAAAATAGTGTTTCTCGCAAAACCAAAACATGTGTGGACTCCTTTTAAATATTAGCCTGCGTAATTTCAGTCTCATGAAGTCGAATGAGGAATCGGGGTCTAATTCTTAATTTGATTATTTGGATGTTAGTTGAGTCATGTCAACCATATGGTTCGATAAAAATTCGTTTCAGTTTGCCGTGTTGAAAGAGCATAGCATTAGAAAGGCTCGCACTTAATTTTCTCCAAACATGGAGATAAAAACGTGATAATAAAAACATATTGCAAATGAAGTCTTAGGTGCACTGAGCGTGCATAGAACGACCTTCTGAAACAAAACTGCAGTGCGGAAGAGGTACTCGCTGGGTCACATTTTCTGTCAATGGGGACTCAATTCTGGATAATTGTCTTGGATTCTCGGCTATTCGGCCATATCACCATTTTCTGTTAATCATCATAACCATTTATTGACTAACAGACAAGCACATCAGCCCTATAATTTTATGCCCGCCACTAGGAAAGTCCTGCTCAGGTTAAGTTCACGGTCTGAAAGGGATATTCAGTCACCCTTCCATTTGAGATACGAGGTGTTTCAATCTGTCCCTTTCAATTTGATCATTGTCAGCGTAAAATCAGCCTTGCTTTTTTTGCGATGTTTTAAGTTTTCAAGACCGTTCAAGCAATTCACTGGATTCAGATGATCTCGTCCAAGTCAATTTACCCGGCGACAATGTCGCACACGAACCATTACTTATGTCGGCTTGTCTCTATCCAAAGACCCCTTTCGAATCTAAGCTTAGATAGACAATAGAGAAAATCGAAGTAACAAAAGTCCTCATAAACTGAGAAGGTCAACCGGCTATTAACCTTTTAAAGATGTGTTTCGTTGACTTAGTGACGCACGTACGTCGGCTCTTATTGGCCCAGTCTTATTCCCGGCAACTGCATGGCAATATAGGATTCCGGTTTATTTATGAACGTGATTAAGCAAACGCATACGACATAATTAATATGGTCAGCCTACTCTTTTTTAAAAGCTGAACACGTGAAAGCCCATAAAAATATTACGAAATGGTTTTATCTAGAACCTCTAGTGGTTTAGTTTTCTGTGGGTTAACGTTAGCTCGAGCATCGAAAACACACTTAAAATCTTAAGTGTCGATCAAACAACTGTACTGAGCGAGTGATCCAAATACCACAGAATAGACGGCGAAACAAAAAAAAAGACAATCGGCGCCAAGCGGGAAAAAGGCGCAGCCGTGGTTTTGCTCACGAATCACGAGAGATTGTTTCTCCCTGTAGAATTAAAAGAATGGATATCTGATAGTTAGGGTAGAAGGAGGGAAAACGCGGGAACGAAATCCCATGTTTTCTGTGGAGTTAATACGTTACTGAAGAGATAACAGAAGAAAGAAAACGATATTGCAGACAGTAACGAAGGTAAATATCAAATATTGACTTCCTTGTTGCCACATAAACTTTTTTTTCCCTAAAAAGATAAAAACATAAAGGAACCATCAAGGTGGAAAATTTGTGCAAATTTGGTGATATTTAGAAAGTATGCGCTACGCAGGAGTATGTTTAAAATTTCGCGGGAAATACACGCTGTCATGACAACTGAGCCAGCGATCAAAGTGCGGAACAGTGTGGGGAAAAAAACAAGATGGCGGGCACGGGAACGATGCAGATGGACCCATTGTTTTTAGCGATGAGCTTCTATCGGCGAAGAAAATTCGAAGAATGCGCAGAAGTTTGCACACAATTGCTAAAGAAGAATCCGTACGACCAGGTATTCTATTTTCAGGGAGATCAGACAAAAATGTGATGATTTTCCCCCTGTCATTTCTTCAGTTGTTTGCCGTTACTCAATGGCAATGCAACTTTCGGTAGAGACGTTTGGTATTTTGGCATCTTATAAAGGATATTTATTTTCTCCTTTAGAAGATTAAAAATTCACTTTCTGTCTATTTTTTGCTTGATCAGGCGTCATGGTGTTTGAAAACACGAGCGCTCACAGAGCAAGTCTATGTCGATGAAGTTGATGTCGATGAAGAAGGAATTGCTGAAATGTTGATGGACGACAACGCTGTTGCCCAGTTACCGCGTCAGTAAAACAGTTTTGGCGCTTTATATTAGTTTTTCTTTTAACCCTAGAAGCGATAAACAAAATATTTTCCCTCCCCCGTGGGCAAGCAAAAATGTCCCAAAACGATTACCGTATTGAAGAAAAATTTGGAAAAACAGAGAGTGGTAAAAAAAGGTTAGATCATAGTATTTGTTTTCAACCATGCATTTCACCAGAGAGGTATGAGACACTAGAATTCAGTTTTCTAATATTCATGATCTGCCCACAAACATCTTAATAAATTATTTGCTAAACAATATTGTTGTTCTTAATACTGCTGAGAGGAGTGGGGAGCAATTTGATTTATTCCTAGTAATTAATTATAGCAGGTAATCTGACCTAGTACATTGGGAAACTGTGTGTTAGCTTGTCAAGTGTTAAGTGGGTCTATAAAATGCATGGATTGGAAACACTCTTGAAAATCCTCATACCAGCAATTTGTAGGATATTTGCCATTTTTAGAAATGAGCAGGAAACTGGAGGCAGCGTGACTGAGTGGTCAGGGTGTGGGACTCGCAATCCAGTGGTCCCAGGTTTGACTCCCACTCTGGCCACTTGCTGGTTTTGTTCTAGGTTGTCCTGAGTTCAAATCATCAGCCACGCTTGTAAATAGGCAACTGGTGCAGCCTCCCGCTAGTTGAAGTTTTTAGTCCTGCTGTGATCTGTTTGCATCATTTGTCTCAGAAATATTTGAGTGGAGTGCCTATAAACTAGATGGATATACTAAGTGCACTTTCCACTTTAAACAAACCTTTAACCTTTAACCTTTTAACGCTTTAAGTCCCAATAGTGACCAAAAGCAGTTTTCTCCTAACGATATTCATACATTGTCGTGAGATGAGGTTATGAGAATTAATAAAATGTTCACCCAAGAGAAAATACTTTGATCTTTTATCAAATTCTCTTAAATAATTCTTAAAGGAAATGTATAGAGATCAGTTTGGAGAATTTGTATGTGGATATTGGGGCTTAAAGGGTTAACTGGGCTGAGATAACTGGAACTGTTAGTAGGAATAGGGAAAAAAATGGGCCATAAGCTGACCGGGGCATCCCCAGTAACGATCCCAGGAGCAATAATTGCAGGATGCATTTCAGCTCCAGTTCTCTTCTTATTTGTAATGTGGTAAATACCTTAAATACTCTTTAGCTAAAAATGTTAATACATGTAAGCATTCCCCTTTAACACTCCTCGTACTGAATGTACGGTACACAATATGTAGTAATAATATAGTCCTTCTATGTTAAAGCACAACAAGGACTAAAAGAGATATGCATTGTTAAACAGCAGTGATAAAAACTGCCATGGAAATTAAAGGAATGGGATATTTCTACAAATACACATGTTGAGATCGATCGATCGATCTTTGCGTCCTACGGGATGCATGTGCCATGAACTATTTTGCATCTTTGAGGATTTTTTATGCATCAGGGATGTACGATGCAGAGGTAACAAAATCACCAATATTACATGAAGTACCAGCTTTTTGCAAGGAGGCGTGCTAATAGAAAAGATTTATAAAGAATGCTCTCTAATTATAACTGTACTAATTATGGTGAATGATTGTCAAACAGGTCCTGGGACATCATTAAAGAAACCGGGGACAAGTACAGGACATGGAGCCCCAACTCCAGGAGTCAGGTAAATTACTAAAGTGTTTACACTCCTAAATGTTTTAGAATAAAGTAGACTCTTACAGTTATAAGTCTGCAGGGTTCGCGTTGTCTTGAAAAGTCCCTGAACTGTAGGGGAAGTCCTTGAAAAGTCCTTAAATTTCATTTTTCCTTGAAAAGTCCTTAAAGTTCAGTGCAAGTCCCTGAAAAATCCTTGAATTTTCCTCAACTTTAAATGTCCTCAAATTAGTAAGGGGTTGTTCCCAAGCGATACGGCTCCGACACATTAATAAAGTTTTCAATTCTATTCAATTCTATGTAGTGGCCTGGAAAGTGTTTTTTGATGCTTTCCAGTTGTCCAAGACAGAATATAAATCATAGCTCAGAGAATTTAAAGATTATTTACACAAAGAGTTTAAATTATCAACCATCAATTTAAGACAAGTGAACTGAAAAATGTAGAGAAGCTGGTGAAGCAAACAGTTCAAGCCTTAAAGCCTTATTTATAAAGTAGACTGGGAATGTGCAGTTATGTACTATCTGTGAAATTATATTTCTAGTAGGTGTTCCTTGAAAATCTAATGTGGCCCTTGAAAAGTCCTTGAAAAATAGTTGCAATTTTTTGTATGAACCCTGGTCTGGTCTATTCTGTGGTAGCATATCCTTACAAATCCTTGCTTGATAATCAGTATTTTCAAGAGATGCTATGTCATTCCAGGGCTTGAAATAATTTTCTGGCTGCTGCGGGTCAAGTTGTCCAGTCAAACCTAAGTGTCGAGTCATCCAAGGATTTGACTGGACAAGCTTAAAATATAATTTTGAACAGACATTGTCTGTTGATCTTCTGTTATTTCAAGCTGTGCCTGCTGATTCTAGTAGTATGCATTCTGTTGTAGTCTTAAAAACCTGGACAGTCTTTGGGGTAATTGAGCGGTTACAGTATTAAAACTGCCCGTGTGCTCTCTCTGGGGAGGCCCCAGATTCAAATCAGTGCTTGGGACACATGATGGGGTTGCCACCTACTTGCCATTTGATATTTCTTGGTGTTGTTTCCCAGACCAATGTCACAGGCGGGACGTCCAGTCAGCGGATTTGTCAGACCAGGAACACAAAGTGGAAGACCAGGAACTATGGAGCAGGCTATCAGGACTCCTCGCACTGCACAAACGGCCAGGTATGCACATACACCCAGACAATAATTCAGTTAACTCTTCCAGTCATCATTGTGACATCTTAGGATTAGGTGAAAGGAAAGGTAGGTGAGCAGTGGAACAAGATTTTCATGGAGATTTTCAGGTCAATGTCACGTGGTTTTTTTGCTTCTTTCTCTGGTGTCCTTGGCTGAATTGTGCTCATTCTGGTATGGTTTGAAAGATCTTTTCACTCTGCACAAGTTAGCGAAGAAAGTTGTCCTTGACCGTTAAAACTGATGACGTCACAAAGGGTAGAAAGGACCTGGATCCGCACTGGCGGTTACGGGCGGTTCAGGGGCGAATGGGTTAAAGTGGTCACCTATCGCAAAATGCCCATCACAAAAATGTTATGAAACTCGGATATAAAGTTATAAAGGAGAAATAAAGACAATAATACTTATATTTTCTGTTCCAAAAAGTCAAAATTCATGAAGAAGACAAACATTTTGGCTAATCATGTTGGTAACCATGGTGACACCAATATCCTCACACGTGAAAGATAAAAATAGTATCTTCCCTGCGCGCAGTGAATATATGATTTTTTAGTAAAAGGAAAAATCCTGGTATTTCATCATTATCTACATAATAAAAGTGTCTTCATCTTGAATGTTAACTTTTGCTTCAACTGTGGGACTCACTGACATTATCACTGTGCTTTGTCAAGTTCTCTTGAGTTCATTCTCTGCACTTCCAATATTGGTGACAGATGTGACTTTGTCAGATTGTTCTATAGCTATGATACTACTTTATGTTTGGATGGTCTGACTGTCTAACCAGTGAGAAATTAACATCACAATAACTTACCAAAATACCAACAATAAGATTAAAGACTTTAAAAAATCTTGATTTGGGGCAAATTATTTGACTATGATGAAATTATTATAATTTAGTGAAATCCTGTGTCCTTAACCAAGTTACTAATTTTTTTCTCAATAGCATCCATTTTCTTTTTCTTTAATTGTTCATGCTTAAAAGTAAAATGCATGTAGTACCAGACATTTTAGTGTCGGAGAAAAACTGACCATGCAATCTAATTACGCATTAATTCTTGCTTTCTATTTGACCATCAATATTTGACCATGGCTTTATTTTTTAGACCAGTCACGAGTGCATCTGGCCGACATGTTCGTCTTGGCACTGTAAGTACACATTGTATAATGTTTGTTTTGTGCTACCATTGATGTCTTGAAATGACTTCCCGTAGTCAAAAGCCTACCATGTAATGATTCAATTTAGCGCCCTCCTTTTAATAAGCGCCCCCTCGCAAATAAGCGCCCTCCTTCAAAATTTTATATGTTTTTGTTAATAATCACCGCTATTCCATTAAACACCCCCATTCTGCTAAGCGCCCCTATTCTAATATTATAACATTAGAATAATATGGGTATGTATTAACTGAGGTTCATCCTCCTTTAATTGCTCACAAACGTACAGTAATGCCACATTTCAAAACAAGGATCCTTTTGAAGGGATCACTTTGAAGATACTGCACAAGAAGGCTTTTATTTAAGGTATTGATGTAAGTGACACTGTCAAAGCTATCGGCTTAGAGATAGATTCAAATTCCCTCAAGTTAAGTGAACATTCACTGTATATTTGTTACTGTTGCAGTTTCTGTTATTGTTCCTTTTAAAATAAATATTAAAGTTTTGTTTTGAACATTTGTTTGTTTCTCAAAAAAGAAATAAGCACCCTGTCCCAAATAAGTGCCCTGTCTTGAATAAGTGCCCCCCCCCCCGGCCCCCTTGAGTTACCAAAAGCAAAAGACCACCCTGGGTGCTAAACTGAATCATTACGGTAATCCCTTTAGTGAAACTGCAAAAATGTCTTTTTGTTTTTCAGGCATCCATGTTGTCACAGCCAGATGGACCATTTATAAATATTTCAAAACTGAACTTGTCAAAATACGCACAAAGACAAAATCTTGCAAAGGTACAATGTAACAACTCAAAATTATAACATACAACCACTATTTAAAATTATTGCTTTTGTTTATTATGTTTATTTGTTTTGGAAAGTCAACCACTACATATTTGGTAGTAGGTTTCATCTTTGCTTTAAAGCTGTTTGATTTAGCCTGAGGTGATTGTCAACTAAATACACATAATTTCTAATATATAAATTGTTTTTAAAACTTACTTATATTTTAAAGTTCTTTTTTCTGTCTTTTCCAGGCCTTGTTTGAGTACATTTTCCACCATGAAAATGATGTTCGAAATGTAAGTGTAGCTCTTTCATGAAAAGTGTGTCTTATTTTGGAGTGTTCTAGTCTCAAAATTTTTTATGTCATAACAAATAAACGTTTTTGTTGGTAAAATGTTCCTACATATCCAGATATTTCCAGTAACTGCAAGTGGATAAAGAAATTCTCATGAAAGTCATCACAAACCATCCTCAAAATAATTAGGTCACCAATACAAATGCTTCAATTGTTAAAATGTGAAATATTTTGAAAATAGAAAATATTTATTGATTAAGCAATGCTCCTGGAATTTTGGTCATAGTACAAACTTACTGAAACACCACAAAGTTTACATGTTTGGTGAACAAAAGGAAGTTATGGTTAGAATTTGTTGTTTTTGAAGGAAACATCTTTTGTAACATCATTTGATCGAGTAAAGCGTTATAACTGTCTTTCTCAGTCATGTCCACTTTCCTTCCAAAAAACTCATCTTTAGTTTACCTTAAGTTTGGTTTTGTAAAAATCAAAAGTACATTTTTTTCGAATTTTTCCGAATAATTTGACTGCATTTTTTATGTAAACTGATTATTTCTGTTAGGCATTAGAACTTGCAGCAACAGCAACTGAAGAATGTCAGTTTAAAGACTGGTGGTGGAAAGTTCAGCTGGCCAAAAGTTATTACAGGTGCATACAAATTTAGATATTACATGACCGTTTTCAATGTTCATCGGTTTGTGGGACATAAACTTTCCCTCACTCGCGTCTTTCGCTGGCTGTACTAACTCTCGATAAAAAAAGAGATTACACTGTTTTTGTAGTATGTTTTTTCCCTCTTATTTCATAGTCTCCCACGTTCGTCACTCAGCTCTCGAGAGTCGGTGAAAGATAAAAAATGCCTGAACAAACGCAGGGACCTTCGTGAACCACTCCCTTATTTGGCTTAAACGGGTATGTGCCACACTGAACAGGTTATGGTTTGTGGGGTCTTGATTCTTAAACAGGGTATACAATTCCACTATCTAGTGTCTTGACTAGAGTGTCTCTCTGGACCAGAAGCATTTAAAAGAGTGTGAAGGTTGGCGATGAGCGGTCTACATGTATAATTTGATTTTAGGTAAAAAAAAAAATTCCTAAAATTTGTGCGCGAAACGAAATGAGTCAGGGTCTTGAACGTGTTTGAGGGGTTTGAGGGCCTTGCGGCATACCTCTCCACATACTCCCCTTGGGCGCCTGCCCCGGCGGGAGGGGGAGGGGACACAGACCAGTTCTATTGCGTCCTTTTCAGAGAGAGGTGTCCTTCTGGAAACAGTTTTCTTATAACACTTTCGTTTTGCATTCAGACTTGGTATGTATCGCGATGCAGAGAGACAGCTCAAGTCAGCGCTTCGTGACCAAGAAGTTGTGGATATTTATTTGTATCTTTGTAAAGTGTACAGAAGACTCGATCAACCACTTACTGCCGTTGAAGTTTATAAAAAGGTCAGACTTGTCAGTTCTTTGTTAATTCTGTCTCCTTTTTGTTTGTCTGATAAATAAATAAAGTTTTTAAAAGGGAAATTTAAGCTGCGTTTGATTTTTTCGGCTGATGTTGTTATTTTTCACAAGTTAATCTCCTTCCTCTTGTCTCGGTATTTCTGGCTTTATTCCCAGTTTTATGGACGTCAACTTCATGTCGATCCTTAAAACCTCAAAGGAAACACAACAAACCGAAAGAAAAGAGAAGAACTTGGCTTATATCTAACCACCTTGACCTAACAAGCTTGGTCAATAATGCATATTTCCAGTTTTCATTTCAATACGGTTAGGTTTAGAACTTTGCATCAGTAAAAGTAGTTAGTGATTCAGTGATTCGTTTTTGTCCTTCAATTTAAAGATACGGTTGTTCTCATTATTGCAGGCCTTGGAGAAATTTCCTGGCGAAACTACGCTTTTAACAGGAATAGCTCGCATTCACGAGGTAAAAGAGCTGTTGATTTTTCAAGGTCATGCCCATCTGGGGAGGGGACGGCTGCGAAGTTCTCTCTCTCAGTCTGATAGCATTTGTTTTAAAGTTCGTCGTTTTAAAAACAGTCGATAAGTGTTCGACTTTGACGCAGAAATCTACTTGACTTCCATGTTAAAAATAATAATGTGTGAAATCTTTTGAAAAGGTCTTGAGCATGAGTGAAATGAATCCTTGTTCTTTTTATGTTGATGCTTTAGGAGTTAAATGACATGACGAATGCGGTCAAACTCTATAAAGAAGTGTTACATTATGACAACACTCATGTCGAGGCCATCGCTTGCATAGCTACGCACCACTTCTACACAGATCAGCCAGAGATAGCGCTCAGATTTTATCGGTGAGTCTACAGGTTTTTGATCCACTTCCACATTTCACTTTGGTGGCTATCAGACTGTTGTTATTTTATCTACAAAAATCGCATAATAGCTGAGTGATAGAGCCTGGTAAGGTGGCTCCAACTTTAATTTGTGTCTTTTGACGAAGTCTTATGGCGTGACCATTCAAATAAAATCTCTTTGATAGTACTTTAAAATGGTCCTATTTGTTTTTCGGCATTTTACAAAATGAAATTTGAATTTTTTGTCTGATTTTGACTATGGCCAGTTCTGCGAGTGGAAGTCGGATTTTAATAAATTGCGCGCTAGACTTTCTAAAAGTCCGTTTTGTAAAGTTCATTGCTTGTCGCTCCAAAAAGTCCACTTGTGGCTAAGTCTAACTGCGCGCTTATACATGCGTATATACAGTGCAGCTAAATTTTAGGGTGTTAGTGATTTTATAACGTGTTTTCCAACGATTGTACAGTTGTGGCGTCAAGTGATGAGGGCGCATGATAGTATTGATTTATAAAGGTGCTTTAAATGGTCAAAACTGACGATGTCTTGACGATGCTTTGCACGTGCCCCACATGACACGCGTACTTTATCTAGTTGTCCTGTACGGCACTAGGTCTACTTAACCATTTCTTGAACTCTCCCCAAAGCACCAAACAATGTTTCAATGTTTTCTGAGGAACGTAATTATTACACTGAAACAGGAATATTGTTCCAAAAAGACTGTGTAAAAAGTACTCGACTTTGAATGCTTTTTGCGTTAAATATGACATTCAAGCATACCGTAACCCTTTCTACTCAAATACAACTTATCAACTATTATTGTCGCTTTTTCGTCGTCTTTTTTTTTCCAGTCGCCTTCTTCAGATGGGCGTGTACAACGCGGAGCTGTTCACCAATCTTGGGCTCTGTTGTTTCTTCGCTCAGCAGTATGACATGACGCTTAACTGCTTCGAAAGAGCGCTGAGTTTAGCTTCAGACGAGAACATGGCGGATGTCTGGTACAACATTGGACACGTCGCTGTGGTAAAGTAGTTTATATGTATATATATATTTTGTTTTTCCGTTAGAAATATCATTAAAGGCAGTTTAAATAGTGTTATGGTTAATATACTTGGTTAGTCCTTTCCACTGATTTTAAAAAGAAAAAAAAAATGAGGCGGTGATCAGGAAAGTCTTGATTTTATAACGTTTTTCACCACTACGCTTGGTGATTTACTAAAAACAAAAGGGAAAGAGCTCACAATGAAAACGTAATGTTTCTGTTGTGGTTTCTGATTTAAGAAGGTTATCTCTTTTAGTTACCATAGCGCTTATATTGATAAACTCATCTTTATGTATACCACTGAATAGTTAACTTCTCTTGTACATAGACAGTCTATAGATCGTTTAATGATGTAGATTTAATTATGTAATTTACACGGTGATTTATACAGAACGTTGTTTAAAATGTTCTTTTTAGGGTATTGGCGATATCCAGCTTGCCTACCAATGTTTCAGATTAGCGCTTGCGTCAAATAACGACCACGCAGAGGCCTACAATAACCTTGGGGTCCTGGAAATGAGAAAGGGCCATACAGAGCAGGTACGTATATCCCGACCCTTCCCTAAGGACCTTGTTTGAAGGGTTTGTTTTCTCCCCATAAGAGGGACCCTGATTTGGAGACTGTAACACTTAACACTGCAAGCTCTTGAAACGCCACAAAATAGAAGAAATGGAAGCTAGTAGAAATACCTTACTCAGAACCCTCAGGTGGGCCAAAAGTGAAGACGCCGTCATTCGCCTCTAGGGTGCAGCTCCACGGCAAATTTCTCACAAACCACACTTCGATCGATGGTAACTACATTTGTGAGGTTGGATGGCTTCACAAGGGTTTTGGGACCCAGGTATTTCCGTTTGTTTTTCCACGCATTATCTTTTTGGTGGGCTCTTCTAAAGGCCCATCCAACCTCCCCGGATCCGCCCCGGCATCTTCAAGTGATCATTCAGACACTACTGGTCACATTCATGTTGTTGCAGAGCCGGTCAAAATAACCTTTAAACCATACGGCTTGGGACGGCGAACAAACATGACGAATGAGCGAGTTAATATTTCGTTTGTACTTTTATTGAAACATTTCGGCTCAAATCGGTATTTTGGAGTAAATTGTAACCGCCGTAATGTTCATTTGTATTTGTTCTTTTGAATGCAAAAGATCGATACAATGGCGAACAACATGAGCTACAAGAAGAGAGGGTGATCTGACTGTGTTTACACTTTATGTCATATAAAACGAAGACTAATACAGTTACCCTTTCTTGCAGAATGTCTTTTGACTAGAGACTAATAACTTCTTGTTTACGAGGCCTTCAGAATTATGATCTTACTTACTTACTTACTAACGGACTTGCAAAACAAGGCGATGGCATAGTGATTGCCGTTTCTATGGCAACCATAATCACAAAAATACGAAAAAAATATAGGGGTGTGTACAGAATTATGGGTGCTCACTGATGCAAGTAAAATTTCAGTTTTTCTTTGACGGGTTTTTTCAAAGGTTTCGACCGGAATTTTCCCATCAAATTTGCAAGTAAAAGGCGGAACGCCAAACTGATTCAGCAAAATTAATGTGGTGTTGTGTGTTCCCTACAGCGGGACCACCGGAACCGTTGTACTGAGAAACATACCCTTTTGTTCTTTTATCGCCAAAATGACGCGGAAAAATCAGTTTAATAACGTTTACACCTGCGGCATCAGGCCTCATTGACTATTTTCCAATTCCCCATAATATACTCTGTCTGCCCCCCAAATTTTGCATAACTTATTGTCTTAAAATGCTCTTGGGAAAATGCAATACTCCCAGGAGCATTTAAAAACAATGGTTTATGCAAAATTTGGGGGGCAAACAGAGTGTATTATGGGGAATTGGAAAATAGGGAATAGCCCCCAGCAATCTCTATGCTAATGGGATAAGGGCGCGCACAGGACGGAAATTACGTTTTACTTAGATCGCAAATACACAATTGTCTAATATTCAGTTTTACAATTCTTTATTGTTGCTTTGCTTTATTAGGCCCGTGCGTTCCTTCAAGCTGCCGCTTCTCTTGCACCGCACATGTACGAGCCGCACTATAATCATGGGCTGCTGTCACACAAGGTATGCGTTGTTTTTGTAGAGTGAAACTAGTAAAAACACAACATCCAAAAAGGTTCCTTCCTCTTAGGCCTTAGTTCTTTCCGGACATCTTGAACGGGACACAGGGAAGCAAGACTGTTTTTCTCAAGATCTCAGATGAAGCTTATAATTGCGGTGAACATGTTGCTAAAGTTGGTTTCCTGTTGGGTGTCCCGTGGTACTGTGGAAAATATCGAGAATGGCAGCCGTTGTTTTTGTCACGCAAATGTACTTTGTCTTGCACGCCAGCCGCGCGAGGGAGCGTCTCCTCTCACGTGCCGCTCGCACGAGACTCCAGGTGGAGAGCTTGCTCGCACACTACATCCTTGCCTTCGTGAAACCTTTCACGTTCTTCGTTGTCTCATAATCATGTGATATCACATACGCTCGTGGTTGCTTGTGAACCATGTGATATCACACGCGTTCCCTATTGCCACAAAATCATGATATCACACACGAACTGAAATCTTGACCCCACTTGACTTAACCCATTCGGACCTGGCGATTTCGCCAAAAACGCGTTTTGAAGCTTTACGACAAAGCCGTTCACAGGTCATACTCTTTGTGGCCTTCTGATCCAGATGCAAAATATTAGCTTGCAAAGTTCGGGCATGCGCAGAAGGCAAAATTTCGAGTTATGGGGTTTAAAAGTGACACCGCAGTCTTGACTTTTACTTTTCGCTTTCTCTCCTCCCTTATTTTTTCGCTTTCCTCGCCTCATTTTTTCCTTTTGTTGGGCATTTAGTAGGCTTTATTTTGGTGGGAAAAGTTTTTAGGAAAGCTCTTAGGATCTTAGGAGTAGATGAAAGGAAAGGTAGGTGGGTGGTAGAACAAGATTTTCATGGCAATTTTCGGGTCAATGTTACATGGTTTTTTGCCTTTTTCTCCAGTGTCTTTGACTGAACTGTGCTCATTCTGGTATTGTTTTAAAGATCTCTTCACTCTGCACACGTTAGCGGACAAAGTTGTCCTCGACCGTTAAGACTGATGACGTCACGAGTGGTAGAAAGAACGTGGATCCGCGCGGGCGGTTACGGGCGGCTCAGGGGCAAATGGGTTAATGAATCTGTAATCACTACTGGGGGTGTGAAATTCGGAATTTCAGATTACAACAAAAACGCGAACTCCCATAAAAGGGGATTACACTTGAAAAATCTGTCCTTGACTTTGTAGTGTCTTTCCGTTTTATTGGGAAACCCGCAAAGGGATTTGAAAACCTGTTCCCAAGAACGCAGTGGTCTCACACGCACACGCACACGCATAATTTGCAGAGAAACGACCACTGTTCACGAGAATAGTTTTGCAAATCCTTCTCGGATTTCCCAATAAAACGGTAAAGAAGGAAATCCATGAAATCCGGATTTGGATTCCTAAATTGGAATCCACCCTGAGTACGAATTTCTGGAAGATGAAATCTGTTTTCTTGTTTTTGCGTTCTATTGCGAAACTTGCAATCTGGGTTTCGAAATCCAAACGCACCCTGGTATGTAAACAAGCCGTTTTCAGTGTCGTCACGCAACGCTCCTCCCCAGGAGCGTTGCGTGACGACACTAAAAACGGCTCTTTAATAGAAGACTAACCCTGGTAATGACCTCCTTATTTTTGGTGTTTGTAGATCGGCGACCTTCAGAGCAGCCACGGATCGATAAGTAAATCTCTGGAGGGTTACCCAGATCATTCTGACAGCAAAGATGTTCTCAAACAGCTCAAGGAAGACTTTGCTGCTTTGTGAAGTCACCAGAATTTGCGCTATATGTACAGTGCAATTCCTTAAACAGCGACTCCTTCTGTTATGTAAATAAACTCGCCGAAATTCTCGTACTCTTTAGGGCTTTTCTTTTGTTGTAAAGTCATTATCATACACCACCATGTCCAAAAACAAAAGAAAAGAAAATATAAACCAAGGACAAAATTAAATCAAAACATATCCTTTTTGAATCCACTGCCATTCTAACAAGGAGATCGAGACACAAGCAGTATCTGAATAGGCTTCCTGATTGGAGATGCCCTCATGCCCTCTCTATAGAGCGATTTTTGTACGACCTTGAAAAATGGTTTCCGCAGTAAGGGTTCGTTATTTGTTTTATCACGGGATAGATGAAAAGATAAAATAATGGACTCGTTTTTTTTCCGCCAAATTAATC